AACTGCACCCAAATTTCGGGTCTCTAGTATGGGGATGTGAGAGGTGGAATATACACATTAATCATTATTAGGTCTCTGTTCCTTACAGCTAGAACTTGTAGTAAATCGTCTCCCTCATATAATTTGGTTCCTTTCCAGTTTAGTTCTGTTTTCAGCAGGATCCCTAGTCCCCCAGAAGCTCTCCTTTTATTTTTTTATTTTGGGGCATTACTATACCAAATATCATATCCCAGGAGCTGTGTAACCGATCCCCCCCCCCATCTACCACCCATGATTCTTACAGAGCTATTAAATCGAAACTATTAAGAAAATTAACCATTTCAATATTTGAGTTAACCCCTGCCCCTGCCACATTCCACGTCAGGATCTTAATACAATTCATGGCATCTCTAAGTTCAAAGGTATCTTCATTTTGGTGAAACTGTGCTGATTGGATTAGTCAGTTCTGATCTGTTGGAGGGTCAACAGCAATGCTATTTAAGTCATCATAGCATATACAGTTGTTTCGGGGAACATAATGACTGGATTTCCATCATTGGGGAGGAGTGGTCAGACGTTGGTGGATTTAAAAGCTGTGGTGTGGATTCTGGATGAAGAAGCGGAATGGTCACTATGTGAATCTTTCCATTGTCCTTCACTAAGTTTTTTTTAGGATTTGCACCGAGGTCAGCAGCCTCTAATTCCACTGCTTCTTGATGCTGAACATCGGAAGGACACGAGTTATGTGACACAGTTGTTATCTGCTGAGAGGAACTCCTGTGAGTTTGGAAGAGTTGTTCCTCAGTTGAGCAAAATCTTCTTCTTTTCTTCCTATTGGGAGATTTTGCTTCCTCTGATGAGTTTCTTTCTGGTGGTGTATGACTTCTGTGCACCAGAAAAGGAGTATTATGGAAGGGGTATGTATTGCAGGGGTTATCCAGACACCCTATCTCTGTTTCATGTGGGATTACCAAAGATTTAGCATTGTCCATGCCCACGTTGTTCTGGGATACTTGGCAACGATTGAACGCACAAGGGGAGCAAAGGTGGGGTAGTTTGTTTTCATTTAATCTATTTACTCCCTGTGAGTTATTTTGGGCAGGTCTTGAGTGATTAGCATTAAAATTCCTGTTGGTTGAAGCATTGTTTATGTTATTGGGGCTTCTTTTCTCAACTGTTTTCCCCAAGGAATACATCTCTCGAGTAATAAGTGCCTTAATTTGAGTGTTATGGCAAACCCTTATCGATAGGATCCCAAAAGCAGGTATTATTTCCTCTTTAAGAGCATGGCCACAAGGTCCTCTTGCCTAAATGTCAGAATGATTCTTTTGTTTCCAAGGAAATCAGGCAACCAGGAGATTTGGGTAATGTCATCAGGAGAGATTTTTCTTCTCAATAAAAGGGATAGAGACCTTTTGTGAAAACGCCTATGCCATTGTGTTTTGTTATTGTCAGTTGAGAGAAGTATTTTATTCCTTTGGAGAATTAAGTTGTGCATTGAGGAGTTATCTTGATTTTTACCTAACTCCACTCCATTAACAGTCTGAGACATTCTGGGTTTTTTACTTAAGGGTTTGTCAGAGGAGGTTGAGAGGATTCCAAAGGAGGCTTTCAATTCTTCTATGGATCTGTTAATTGCCTGGATCCGCTCAAATAAAGCAAGCATTGTCTCTGAAGTTAATGAGCAGTGGTTAGCCATTAAAATGTAATATTCTTTATCCTTTGTTACAATTTCTTCCATGGAGCATAGGCAGGCCCTGATCATCAGGCTCCAGAGTGGAGTTTATTCCCTCTAAGTGACCCCTAGAACAGTCCATAAAGGAATTAAGTTGGGACTTACATGAAGGGTCCTTATTTAGTAGAAGGTCTTATGTTGTTTGGGGAGGCTCTCCTAGTTTTCTGGATTGTTCGGGAGATTAGTTCTTCTCTGGAGCTTCCATTTCCCTCTTTTTTCCCGTTGGGGCCGTTTTTTCCTTTTGTGTTATTCATTGTAGTAAAAGGTCTTCAGTTTGTTTTCAGTTTGTTTTCTCAGACCTTTTGCCTTGTTGTCGTAAGACCGACAGTTCCCGGTGGAGAGCAGAGGGAAATGTAAACACCTTTTCTGGCTGATAAAAGACTAGGGCAATAACTACTTGGCTAATAAAACAATAAAATAAAATAAAACTATCTGCAGGAGCGCTCTACAAACGCAGCCTGCACTCGCATAATAATATGGAATATAATGCTTGTAAGTATCCAAGCACATCCATGATAACTTGAATGAACTTTGACATAGATTTTTAACAGGCATCAAGAAAATGGACTGATTATTACTAGAAACTGGATTGTATAATTACTTGCATTCTGATGAATTTGCCAGTTAGTACTAAAGGTGCTCACACAGAGACTGACACAAAATACTAATGTGACTGAACTAACCTATCTCATTCCACAAATCTCCTGCCATAAGATGATTCAGTTTGAAGCAAAATAGTCTTGTTTATTCATACAGTCATTTCCAACTCTTTGTGACCTCATGGACCACTCCATGCCAGAGCTCCCTGTCTGCTGTGGCCCCAGCTCTTTCAAAGTCAAGCAAGTCACTTCAAGGATAACATCCATCCATTTTTCTCTTGGTCAGTCCCTCTTCCTTTTTCCTTCCTTTTTCCCTGGCATCATTATGTTCTCCAAGCTTTCCTGTCTTCTCATTATGGGGCCAAAGTATTTCATCTTTGCCTTTAATATCCTTCCCCCCAGTGAACAGTCGGGCTTTATTTCCTGGAGTATGGCCTGGTTTGATCTTCTTGCAGTCCAAGGCACTCTCAAAATTTTCCTCTGACCACAGTTCAAAAGTATCTATATTCCTTCGTTAGTCTTACTTATGGTCCAGTTCTTGCATCCATAGGTTACTAAAGGGAATACCACTGCTTTAACTATACAGATCTTTGTTGCCAGCGTGATGTCTTCTAATTTCCTGAAGTCTGTGTCTGCAGTAATCTTCGCATCTAGAAATACAAAGTCTGTCACTGTCTCCACGTTTTCTCCCTCTATTTGACAATTACCAATCAATCTGGTTGGCATCATCTTGGTTTTTTTATGTTTAACTGCAACCCAGCTTTTGCACTTTCTTCTTTCACCCTGGTTATAAGGCTCCTCAGCTCCTCCCCACTTTCCACCATCAGAGTGCTATCATCTGTATAACTAATAATAACAAATCTTTATTTGTATTTCACCAGGGGGACTCAGGGCAGATACCAACATACAAAAAGGCAAACATTCAATGCCTCAATAGATGGAGAATCCATTCATAGGATCCAGCACTTAGAGAAGTTTCCCTCTAAATTGAGAAGACTGAGAAATTCAGGAGGAATTAACAACTTATAATTCAGAATTAGCATTTTTAACTTTTAATAAATATTTCAACAGCAAAATAGATGATATGCACCTTTTGCAGTCTATGTAAATCTGTGGAATGGTGCTCTTCTTGCCATTAAAAATTAGCCTACTGCATTTTTTATTTTTTGTAGTTCCTTTTGATAGCAATATGCTTTGTGTATGTGTATTATTATTGCAACATGTATACATTTGTTTTAAATTACAGTCCTGGGTTTTATGCAAGCAAGAAGGCAAAGGCCAATCTTTTAAAAAATTGCCAAGAAAACTGTGATAAGTTCTTCTTAGGGTTGCCATAGGTTGGAAACAACTTGAAGACACACAACATGTAAAACCTGCTAAAAACAATTGGATAATATATCAAATTCATAGCAACCTTCTTCTAGATATGTCAATTTAGAAATAAACTGTCAGATATCTCAGTTCCAAGCTGTGTGGCTCTGGAGAAATCTCCTATGAAGGATCACGCAGAGAATCACAAGTGGAGTAGACATCAACACGTTTATTGTTTGGAATACAAGAGCTTCAACTACAGGCCTCCTATATAGTACTAACTAGCATACCATAAATCATACACTTAGGTATCCTGGCGCCTTTACCATTTCAAAGCCTTCCCATATCAAGGCCCATTTCCTCCCTTACCTTTGGCACCTAGTGCCTTTACCATTTCAAAACCCTCCCATATCAAAGCCCAGTTCTCCCCTCACCCTTGGCAGCTAAGTTTTATGGCTGCCCCATTTGTCCTGCATTTCCTTTTGGCCCAATGTCCCATGGCCATGTGGTTTGTGTCAGTTGTATGGCATGAGCTGGAGATCATGACATCAACACTTGTATCTAAAGTAAACATACAATGACAAAGCCAGGTTCAATCATCATGGAAAAAAAAGAAAAATAACTCAAGAATAATAGGCAAGCAATCAACTGCATCAATGTATATGGTTTAGATGCAGAGAAAGGCTGGAATTCTTCAAAAAACGGTTCAGGTACAGGTTACTTGGCCAAATGCACCCCCTTATATAAATCTACTGGGGCCCTGAGATGTTCAGGAGAGGCCTTTCTCTCGGTCCCTCCTCCATCTCAAGCTTGGTTAGTGGGAACAAGAGAGTGGGCCTTCCTTCTTGGCGGCTGTCCCTTGACAATGGAACTACCTTCTACCCAGGGAAGCCAGAATGGCCCCCACCCTGCTGTCCTTCAGGTGGCAAGTTAAAACCTTTTTATTCAGGCAGGCTTCTAAAGAAGGTTTTAAGGATCGTCAGGGACTGCTGTTATTTTATATGCTTTTAATGATATTTTTACTGTTTAAATACTTGTATATTCATATATTTTAAGTTGTATTGCAATCATTTTAGTTATGAGCTGCTTTGAGTCTCTGCATGGAGAGAAAAAGCAGGGTATAAATAAATATTATAATAATAATTCTTCACATATTTTGCTATTATTGTGATCTACGTCTAAATAGATACCTGCAGGATTGTCCTATAAATTACTTATCCTTATGTACCACTGAAATCAATGCATCTTAAATTAAGTAATTATCATTAAGTTTTCCTTGAAGCAAAGTTTGAATTGGAAAGTCTCACACTGACATAACAGCGAAGTTACAACAAACTGTATGATATAGATGATTTGCCCATTTCAAGTTACCATACCTTATCAAAGTAGTACTGATTAGAATCTTCCACTGAAAGACCTTTTACAAGATTTTCATTTCTTTCTGAAAATTGTTTATCTTTTCCACCCAAAGGATAAGACCCCTGAAGGCTGCTAACTTCATTGATTGTTTGAGGTGAAGACTTCTGTGCTGAATTGTTTTCCAATATATTCCTTCATTAAGGGAAAATAAACAAGACATTCAGTACTGAGGTGTAAACCCATGGAACTGTATAAGACAAACACTGTATGTCAAATTGTTCCACCTTTTCTACAAAAATGACTACTTTCAACATGATGTATATATGATTTTTTGAAAATTCGGTCTTCATTGGCATTGATATTTGACATTTTCAACATATGGGAAATATATCCATATATATTCATTTACTATACGAAATAATTTTAAGCAACAAAGGCCTCTAACACTTCTTACTACACATCCTAAATCTGGGTTGATACAATTGATATGAAGAATATATTTGGGTTTTTTTTTTCTTTTTGAAGGTTTGAGTGATTTCTGGGGTAGGAAAAGGTTTACATTGTTATTATACATTAAAGGGACACATTAGATATATAGGCAACCCCCAAGTTATGAATGAGAGAGGTTCTGTAGGTCTGTTCTTAAGTTAAATTTGTAGACAAGTTGGAACAGGTACATTTTTAAGTGTAATTCCTGCCAAATATATATTCGCTTTGGATAATATAGGGAAGGGTTAATGCCTCTGTGGTGTTTATTTTGCTGTCAATATGCCTGTTCAGAAGATTTCACCTCACTTTCTATCAATATTTTATATATAGAAATGATAACCCAAATCCATAATGTTCTTGATGAGATCTAAAAAAACTGCCAAATTTCATTGTTATTCCATGAGTATAATGACAAAAATAGGAAGTATTAAAATATTTTTAAAATCACCACATCTATTCTCCATATTCACATGCATCTTTCTGGTCTATTCCTTCAGATGTATTATAATGTGACCTCACAAGTCCAGACTACTCCGAATGGGAACATAGCTGGGGTAGTGTTAGCAGTAGACTGGGGGTGGGGTGTGTGTGTGTGTGAATGGCTTACTGAGGGAAAGGGTAAGCAGCACCTCACACTTTCTACATGAGGTGAAACTAGACAGTTTAATCAGAGGATAGTAGACAACTAAGACAGTACACTGTTTTAATGGGAACAGATACACAGCGCTCCAACTCCTTATCATTACTTTGTATCCCTCAGCACCTGTTCTCTGAGGCAACTACCTAACTCTGCCAAAAAGAAAGTGAAGCACTATAGAAATCACATAATTTATTTACCTTTGCTGGAGATTCTGACATAATTCTGAATCAGAGTCTTTTGAAGCTGGGGAATCCTTATAGGTGTAAAAAACATCCTCCGTTTCTGTTATATAAGAAATCTCATTTGCAAGGTTATCTACAGATGAATGCTTTGGTTTGCGAATCTCATGACGCAGTCTAGGACTTCTCCTAAAAAGAGGCAGTATTGTTGATAGTGTTGTTGTTGTTGTTGTTGTTGTTATTATTATTATTATATTATATTATATTATATTTATTTTTATATGCTTTTCTCAGGACTGGGATTCAAAGCAGCTCACTATTTTAAAAACCATACAATTAAAAACATACAAAATGTAAATATTAAAATAGAATTTACACATGTTACAATTAATAAAACAATTTGATTAAAATATCATCCAAATAAATAAATAAATAAATAGCTGTTGAAAACAGTTACCATAACTAACAACATGCAGTATCCTCTGGCAGGCTGTTAACATTTTATTTTAACAGCCTGCTTGAATAAAAAGGTTTTAGCCTGCCATTGGAGGAACAGCAGGGAGAGAGTCAATCTGGCCACCACAGGAAGGGAGTTCCAGAGTTGAGGGGCAGACACAAAGAAGGCTCCCCCTCATGTCCCCATCAATCGTGCTGGTGATGGTGGTGGGACTGAGAGAGTGCATTTTGTCATGATCCCAGAGTCCAGATCTCAGGATGCAGAATTTGTTTCTGAGAGAAACTTTCTTGAGGGGGCAAAGCTTAGGAGAATGGCCGGTTGACTGCATTCTCCAGGAGCTCCAGAAAGTGATACAAAGATTGTGGATTAATAAAACAAAAGAGAGATAATTCAGCTCCATTAAACAGAGGCTTTGCAACTAAAGTTCCAGAGAATTGAAGGGGGCTGGACGAGGTAAATTGCAAAATGGCAATCAGGAAAAGTAAACCAGATATTCAGAGGGAAGACAGTTCTCTGAGAAAGCTGAAACGCTATCAAGACGCTGTTAAGATTAATTAAGAATATCAAAGTAAGTAAACCTTTTTGAAGCTGGAATAGGCAGCAGATAAGTTACCCTTTCCCTCCAACCAGGCATGTAGCCGGGGGGGGGGGGGGCTCGGGGGGCATGGCCCCAAAATTCTCATGGTGGTTCGCGAAAAGGCCTTACTGGTGCATTATTTAAACTGTTATGTTTATTCATATCATGATCTGATCACCATACTCAATATATCCCATATGCATGGGGGTATTGGGGTAATGATACAAAAGGTTTGCTAGGGTAGACCCTCTTTCACTCAGACTCAGCCCCCCCGAAACTCAGCCCCCCCGAAACCCCCCCTGAAAAAATTCAGCCCCCCCCCCAAACGAAATCCTGGCTACGGGCCTGCCTCCAACTAACTAATAAAGAAGCTGACAACCATATAAAAAAGGAATGTAGAAAAAAAAGTGGGTTAGACCATCCGATCACAGATTACAAATAATAGAACAGCAGGGAAAAGACTTTGAGACTATAGCTCAAGGACAATTAAATATGTCAAAGAGCAGTGCCAAGAATAACAATGGCACTAGACTGAACCCTAAAAAAGGAGAAGCAAAGCCACCTGAAGAGGGAGGAGAAGGAGGAGAAGACTGGATGGGGAAATTAACCCAAATAATGAGAATGGAGAATGATAAATAGATAAGTAAAATAGAAGTCCAAATGGAAAGGAAATTTGCAGACCAGACACAGGATCTGGAAGTGAGATTTAACAAAAAAAAAAGGAGAATGGACCATGGCTGATGGGACTTGAAGTACCTTCACTTACTTCCTTTAACCACAGCAACACTCATCCAATTACCAAGACAGACCAAACTTGGCACAGAGAGCCCCCATGGCCAACTCAACATTGTGGTGCAGTTTAGGGAGGATGGACTACAGATGATGGGACTTACAGTACTTTAACTCACTTTCTGAGACCACTGTGACCCTCATCCAATGACTGATCGAGACCAAACTTGGCACACAGAGCCCCCATGACCCACTCTACATCCTGATGCAGTTTCAAGGAGGTTGGACCATGGATGATGAGACTTGCAGTACCTAAACATACGTGCTGAGACCACTGCAACCCTCACCAATGACTGATCTAGACCAAACTTGGCACAGAGAGCCACCATGATCCACTCAACATCCTGTTGTGGTTTGAAGGAGGATTTATAATGGATCATGGGACCTGCAGTACCTTCACACACTTCATGAGATCACTGTGACCCTCACCAATGACAGAGCAAGATCAAACTTGGCACACAGAGCCACCATAAACCACTCTACATCCAGGAGCTGTTTGGAGGAGGATGGATCATGCACAATGGGATTCGCAGTACCTTTCCTAACTGATAACTCCTAAAGAACACCTTTGCCACACAATGCCTTTTTCAAATAACCCGGACAGTGCTGGGTCCCCAAGCTAGTATATAATAAAAGAGAGTGCTTGTATGTACGTACGTACGTACGTATGTATGTATGTGTACGGCAGGAGGTGTCTGTGCCAGCTTTCTGATTGGCTGCCACTGTGGTACTATTTGCATATGGTCTCTCATTGGCCAGCCTGAAAACGCTAACATCCTCAAGTGGCTGAGAGGAGAAAAGAAATTAACAATAAAGACCAAATTTGGAACAGAGAGCCCCCATGGCCAACTCAATATTCTGGTGAGGTTGGGGGAGAACAGACTATGGATGATGGGACTTCAACTACCTCCACTCACTTCCCAAGACTTCTGCAACACTCATCTAATGACCAATCAAGACCAAACTTGGCACACAGCCCCCATGATCCACTCTACATCCTACTACAGTTTGGAGGAGGATTGGCCATGGATGATGGGACTTGCAGTCCTATCACTCACTTTCTGAGACCACAGCCACACTATCCAAATACCAAGAAAGACCAAACTTGGCACAGAGCGAGTGCCCCCTTGGCCAACTCAACATTATGGTGAGGTTTGGGTGAGAACAGACTATGGATGATGGGACTTGCAGTACCTAAACTCACTTTCTGAGACCACTGTGACCCTCATCCAATGATTGATCAAGAACAAAACTTGGCACACAGAGCCCCCACGACCCACTCTCTATTCTGGTGCAATTTGGAGGAGGATGGGCCACAGATGATGGGACTCACAGTACCTTCACTAACTTCCTGAGACCACTGCGAGCCATATAAATAACTGATAAAGACCAACCTTGATACACAATTCCTTTCTCAAATAACCCGGGCAGCGCCGGGTCCCCAAGCTAGCATATAATAAAAGTCAAAGTTTGTATGTGGAGGGCAGAAGTGTGGCGGAAGTGCATGTGCCAACTTTCTGATTGGCTGCCTCTGTGGTGCTATTTGCATATGGTCTCTGATTGGCCAGCTTCAACAGGAGCCCCTGGTGGAGAAAAGGGTTCATGACAGAAACGGGGACATGAGAGAAGGAAATTTGCATATGGTCTCTGATTGGCCAGCCTCAATTCCAAGATTCTGAGATGAAAAAGAGAGGAAAGGAAAAGGCCTATTAGAATGGACCACTGAAGTAGATCGAGTGAAGGCATGCATGATTAAATGGGCTACAAACATAGGCAGACCAATAAAATTAAAAGAATGGGAACAAATATGGAATAAAAAATGAAATACACTTACGCAATGGAACTTAAAGAAAATTGGAATAAGATGTTTTATAGGTGGTATATGACACCGCAGAAATTAGGATTAATGTATAAGAGAGCTCATAATAAATGCTGAAAATGTGATACCCAGTTTCTGTCATTTATGGTGGACACGCTCTAAAGTAAGAAGCTTTTGGAAAATGATCCAAGAGGCAAGGCAAAAAATACTAAAAATAAAATATAGATGAAGCCAGAATACTTTCTATTAGGAATTACTGATGAAGATATAGAGCTGGATGCAAATAAACATATCCTCTTTACATATTTGACGACTGTGGCCAGAATAGTGTATGCTAGAAAATGGAAGACAAATGAAACGACAACAGAAGAAGAATGACTAAATAAAGTCTGGGAAATAAGAGACATGGACAAATTGACTTTTTATTTGAAAGAATCAGCGGGAAGACCGGTGAGGAAAACAGACTGGAAATCGTTTGAAGAATATATGAAGAAACAACAAGGCTCATCGCTTACAGAAAACTAGTGGAGAAGGAGTTAGAAAAAAAGAAATATACAATAACAGTTGTGTGAAGCCAGCGAAATGAAGAAGATAAGACAAAAAGATCCACAACTAGACACGGAGAAGAAGATTGGGAAGCCAAGATTCCCTTCTCCCCACCTTTTTTTTTCTGTTTTTTCCCTTCTTTCTTCTCTCTCGCCTTAACCTACATTCCTCCCCTTTCCCTCTCCCTCTCTCCTTTTAAACCCCATCCTATAATCCCTTTCCAATAAATTTTCCTCACCCGATGACCCCCCTTCATACCTAAAATTAATCCGAAATGTTGTTTTATGTATATATACCCTAAAATCAATTAATACAAATTATTATTAAAAAAAATCAATTAGAATAAAAGAAAACTACTAAAAGATGGTATGGAAATGGTACCTGGCCCCGATAAAGATACACCATATGAACAAGAGCTGTTTAGAAAAATGTTAGAGGAGTTACCGGGAAAGGGGAACATATATTCACATGTGGTGGCATTGCAAATATGTACATAGGTTTTGGGGAAAAGTTACAGCAGAGATAGAAAGTATTATGAAGAAAACATTTATATAAATCCAGTGACTATACTGTTATCAATTTATAATGCAGACTTATTTATTTATTTATTTATTACATATACTTCTATCCTGCCCTTCTCCCCACAAGGGGACTCAGGGCGGCCTTTCATAAAAATGAAAAGAATTTTCATTTTAGTAGTTGCAAGGCTACTAATAGCGAAAACAAACCCAAAACAAAACAAAACAAAACAAAACAAAAAAACAACCTGGAAATGAGAGGTGGAAGTTAAGATAGAAGAACAATATAAGAACATTTGGAAATTAGCAATAAATGATAAATTTATTGTTAAAAATGTTGAAGAAACATTAAAGAGAGAAGATGGGAACCAACCCCCACCAGAAGAAATGAAGTTCTGGTGGGATCATAAAGAAAAAAAGGACTCCAAAGATAGGGAGCACAACAATTAGCACAACGGGGCAAAAGAGAAGAAATAACTATATTAATTGTAGAGATGGGTTTTTTTGTAACAAAAGAAATAGAAATGTAATAAAAAAAATTAAAAGAAACTTTCTTGAAAGACATAAAGTAAGAAACCTATCTATACACATAATAAAAATGGAAAATGTGTATGTGGCAGAGGTATCCACTTACACAGACAGTCTCCCACTTCTACAAACAGACTATAATTCCAAGTGCTGAGAAGCCTCCAAAGGCACTCCCTCGACTGACATTGCAGGTTATAGCGAGCGCCATGAACATGTAGCCCAAATGCTGCCAATGCCCTCCCCAAACACTACGGTCCACCACCCAAGGAATGCTTTTATTTGGGGACCATTTCATCCTAGATTTGATATGTTTCCTCCACCACAATTAGGCATCCCAGGGTTCCTTGTGTGGAATTTGCATGACCCCACCCACTGCCTCTCCCTTAACCCTTTCCTACCCTTTCCTATGGTACACAGCAAACACAGAGGAATTGATCACTAACTGAACAGAAGGGTTTGGGGAACTGAGGCCAACTGTAAATACTGGTAAGATTTGGGGGTGCCTGGCCTTGGCACATGGAAGTTGTAGTTCACCCTTATCCAGAGATCACTGAACTACAGTCCCCAGCCAATGACAGATCTGGACCACACTTGGCACACAGATGCAACATGGCCAACTGTGCATACAGGCCTGGTTTGGTAAGAATTGACCCATGATTCTGAGAATTGTAGTTCACCCACACCATTATGTATTTTCTAATCGAAGCATTCATAAAAAACGAAATCACATTCTGGGTTTTTCCTAATTAATAGTGTTAGGAAATTATTAGGGTATTAGGTAATATATGATATTACCTAATACCCCAAAACAAACAATGCCTTTTTAAAATATCCCGGGCACTGCCGAGCACCCAAGCTAGTCTAGTCATTTTATAATATTAATCATAAAGTTTCTTTAATGCATGCAATTTATTGATTTCCTAATAATACATTCACAGCCACATTCATTTTAAGTGAGTTTACACTACAACATAAAGAAAAAACACTTAACTTATTAGCAGATAGAACAAACATGGTACCAGCTTAATCCAATACATATTTACTCAGATGTTAATTCTACTATGTATTTATATGCACATTGAAATAAAACCTAAGTTTTAATTTAGTATTTGGGAGGGGGTGATTGTGAACTCTTGTTCTACTTAAGGCAAGTAGGCCAACGAGGTTTGGGAAGCCAGTTTCTAATTTTAGCTTCTCCACAAATTCATCAATAAGGGCTGCTGTGCCATTAAGCGAAGTACTATAACAACCACTGGAGACAACAGCAAAATGGTTGAAAGGGGAAGAAAATATACATGTTAAATTGTGTTTAGCATATTTTAACATTTGCTCACAAATCAGAGAGAGGAAAAGATATTAGACTGCTCAGTATGTCTGTACATGCATGCACATGTGCACACATGTACATGTGTACTGCCAAAGCAAACCCTTGGAAGCAAATCCTTGGAAGCAGGGTGAGGCAGCATAACTTCCTTTGTTAAAATGCGCACCATTCAGTCAGTTGAAGACATAGCGCTAGTGGTCTCATTCGAGAGGCGAGAGTATAAAGTTTTGTCCTGACATAGTTCAGTCACCATCATGCATTGGAACAGTGAGGAGCGTGCTTTTGCCGTCGAGGCCTACTTTTCGAGCGGATTTGGAGTGGCCGGCCCGCTCTCCAGATTTGGCCCCTTGTGATTTTTTTCTATGGTTTTTTTTTTTGAAATCCCGTGTTTATGTGAACCGTCCAAGGACCCTACAAGATTTGAAGACCAACATCCAGGAAGAAATTGCCAACATAACGCCTGCTATGCTGGCAAGAGTAATGACAAACGCCAGAAATCGGTTTACTCAGTGTATGGAGAATGGGGGACGTCACCTACCTAATTTGATCTTCAAAACTACATAAAACAAAACTTTAGGTATATGCCTACATTATAAAAAAAATCTGATTCATACAATGGGTTTTATTAAGTTTTGAAAAAAGGAAGTTATGCTGCCTCACCCTAAACATAGCCATATATTATTGAAGAACCAGTCACAAAACGAATAGATTCCTCATCTAAAAAGAAGGAAGCATAGTTTCCTGAAGGATGCTTTTCTTTTAAGCAACTTGCAGCTTCACAAGTCGCTCCTGACACGACAAAAAAATAAAATAAAAATAAATATATTTGGTTCAGTCCTCTTTCATTTTCTGAAAGATCCAAACTATACTTTACCAATTTGGCGTAACTGGAGGAGATCGTGAAGGAAGGCTTTTGGTCTCTAGGTGTTCAACAGATAACGATCTCCTTAAAGATGGATTCCAAATCATGCCACCTATTACTTTTCTGCAACCCTGATTATTAGATCTGAAATGAAATAACAGACTATGTAAAGAAACTACATTATGCAAAACAAGTTTTATTTATTTATTATTATTTATTTATTTACTTTATTTGTATACCGCTCTTCTCAGCCCTTAGGCGACTCAGAGCGGTTTACAACAATTTTAGGTATACACAATACAAAATCATTAAGCATTCAAAAGCAATAGCATCGCAAATCATTAAACATCAATATCAATACATCACTACATCAATATAACAAATCCATCAGGTCTCATCCATGAAATCAGAATCCAATCTCGTTATCCGACATTCTGTGTTCCAATAGTCAGTCAGTCAATCACATTGCTTAGTCGAATGCCTGTTCAAACAGCCAGGTCTTTACTTTCCTCTGGAATGCCAGCAAGGAGGGGGTTGATCTAATATCTGCAGGAAGGGCGTTCCACAGCCGAGGGGCCACCACTGAGAAGGCCCTGTCTCTCATCCCCACCAGGCGTGCTTGTGAAGCCGGCGGGATTGAGAGCAGGGCCTCCCCAGACAATCTTAATGTCCTAACTGGTTCATAGGAGGAGACACGTTCTGACAGGTAGGTCGGGCCAGAACCGTTTAGGGCTTTAAAGGCTAAAGCCAGCACTTTGAATTGTGCCCGGTAGTAAATTGGCAGCCAGTGGAGCTGGCGCAGCAGGAGTGGTATGCTCCCTGAGTGCCACTCCTGTTAGCATCCTGGGTGCCGATCGTTGGACCTTTTGAAGCTTCCGAGCAATCTTCAGAGGCAACCCCACGTAGAGAGCGTTGCAGTAGTCTAAACGGGATGTGACTAGAGCCAGAACCGTTTAGGGCTTTATAGGCTAATGCCAGCACTTTGAATTGTGCCCGGTAGCAGACTGGTACCCAGTGGAGTTGGTGCAACAGAGGAGTTGTATGCTCCCTGAGTGCAGCTCCTGTTAGTATCCTGGCTGTTGAACTTTGGACCATTTGAAGCTTCCGAGCAGTCTTCAAAGGCAACCCCACGTAGAGAGCGTTGCAGTAGTCTATACGGGATGTAACCAGAGCGTGGACTACCGTGGCCAAGTCAGACTTCCCAAGGTACGGACACAGCTGGTGCACAAGTTTTAACTGTGCAAATGCTCCCCTGGTCACCGCCGAAACCTGGGGTTCCAGGCTCAGCGATGAGCCCAAGATCACACCCAAGCTGCGAACCTGAGTCTTCAGGGAGAGTGTGACCCCGTCCAACACAGGCTGTAACCCTATACCCTGTTCGGCCTTGAGACTGACCAGAAGTACTTCTGTCTTGTCTGGATTCAATTTCAATTTGTTCACCCTCATCCAGACCGTCACAGCGGCCAAGCACCGGTTCAGGACCTGAACAGCCTCCTTAGTAGTAGGTGGAAAGGAGTGACAGAGTTGGACATCATCTGCGTACAGATGACATCGTACCCCGAAACTCCGGATGATCTCTCCCAGCGGCTACATGTAGATGTTAAACAACATGGGAGACAATATTGAAGCCTGAGGAACTCCACAATACAATGGTTGTGGGGTTGAACAGGTGTCTCCCAATAACATCTTCAGAGATCGACCTTCTAGGAAGGACCGGAGCCACTGCAGAACAGTGCCTCCAAGGCCCATTCCCGTGAGGCGCCCCAGAAGGATACTGTGGTCGACGGTATCGAAGGCCGCTGAAAGGTCCAGCAGAACTAGCAAGGACACACTCCCCCTGTCTAGCTCCCGGCGAAGATCATCAACTAAGGTGACCAAGACTGTTTCAGTTCCATGAACCGGCCTAAAGCCAGACTGTGCCGAATCCAGAAAATCCGTGTCTTCCAAGAATACCTGGAGTTGTGAAGTCACCACACATTCCAGGACTTTGCCCAAAAAGGGAAGATTGGAAACTGGCCGATAGTTGACGAATTGAGTGGGGTCCAGTGATTGTTTTTTCAACAGCGGTTTTATAACAGCCTGTTTTAAGCTCACTGGAATGTTGCCTTCCCGAAGGGAGGCATTAACCATCACCTTTACCCACTCGGCCAATCCCCCTCTGGCTTCCTTCAAAAGCCAGGATGGGCAGGTGTCTAGGATGCATGTGGTAGGCCTCATTCCTCCAAGTATCTTGTCCACATCCTCGGGTTTCACCAACTGAAATGAATCCATCAAAGTCGGACAAGCAGACGCTCCAGTTACATCCACAGAGACTGCCGTTAACATGGTGTCCAGGCCAGAGCGGATCAAAGCAACTGTCTGCAAAGAACTGAGCAAAGGCTTCACAGCGAGCTGCCGAGTTGTCAGGGCTCCCATCCTGAGAGGTGGGATTTAAAAGGCCTCTGACAACTCGAAACAGTTCAGCCGGAAAGTTTTTTGCAGACGCTTTTATTGCCGCGGCATATGCCGAGTGGGTAAAGGTGGTGGTTAATGCTGCTGTTGAAAAAACCATCACTGCACCCCAGTCAATTCGACAACTATCAGCCAGTTTCCAATCTCCCCTTTTTGGGCAAAGTCTTGGAACGTGTGGTTGCTTCACAACTCCAGGTATTCTTGGAAGACACGGATTATCTGGATTCGGCACAGTCTGGTTTTAGGCCGGGAGATGGAACCGAGACAGTCTTGGTCGACTTAGTGGATGATCTACACCGGGAGCTAGACAGGGGGAGTGTGTCCCTATTGGTTCTGCTGGACCTTTCAGCAGCCTTCGATACCGTCAACCACGGTATCCTTCTGGGACGCGTCGCAGGAATGGGCCTTGGAGGTACTGTTTAGCAATGGTTCCGGTCCTTCCTAGAGGGCCGATCTCAGAAGATGTTATTGGGAGACACCTGTTCAACCCCACAACCATTGTCTTGTGGGGTTCCTCAGGGTTCAATACTGTCTCCCATGTTGTTTAACATCTACATGAAGCCGCTGGGGGAGATCATCTGCAGTTTCGTGGTATGATGTCATCTGTACGCAGATGATGTCCAACTCTGTTACTGCTTCCCACCTGCTACTAAGGAGGCTGTCCAGGTCCTGAAGCGGTGCTTGGCCGCTGTAACGGTCTGGATGAGGGCGAACAAATTGAAATTGAATCCAGACAAGACAGAGGTACTCCTGGTCAGTCGCAAGGCCGAACTTTGCATAGGGTTACAACCTGTGTTGGATGGGGTTACACTCTCCCTGAAGACTCAGGTTCACAGCTTGGGTGTGATCTTGGGCTCATCGCTGAGCCTGGAACCCCAGGTTTCAGCAGTGACCAGGGGAGCATTTGCACAGTTAAAACTCGTGCACCAACTGTGCCCGTACCTTGGGAAGTCTGACTTGGCCACGGTAGTCCACGCTCTGGTTACATCCCGTATAGACTACTGCAATGCTCTCTATGTGGCGTTGCCTTTCAAGACTGCTCGGAAGCTTCAAATGGTCCAAAGTTCAACAGCCAGGATACTAACAGGAGCTGCACTCAGGGAGCATACAACTCCTCTGTTGCACCAACTCCACTGGGTACCAGTCTGCTACCGGGCACAATTCAAAGTGCTGGCATTAGCCTATAAAGCCCTAAACGGTTCTGGCCCCACTTACCTGTCCGAACACATCTCCTCCTATGAACCAGCTAGGACATTAAGATCATCTGGGGAGGCCCTGCTCTCAGTCCCGCCTGCAACACCGGCATGCCTGGCAGGGATGAGAGACAGGGCCTTCTCAGTGGTGGCCTCTCGGCTGTGGAACGCCCTTCCTACAGATATTAGATTGGCCCCCTCCCTACTGGCATTTCAGTGGAAAGTGAAGACCTGCTTGTTTGAGCAGGCATTTGATTAGGCAGTGTAATGAATATAGGAATACGGAATAACGGATGAAGTTGGATCTTGATTCTACTGATGAAACGCTAATGAGTTGTTATATTGATGCTTAATTGTTTATTATGTTATTGTTTTAACTGTCCCTTAACTGTTTTTGTGATGTTTAGCATTGAATTTTTGCTGTTGTTAACCGCTTTGAGTTGCCTAAGGACTGAGAAAAGCGGTATACAAATGAAGTAAATAAATAAATAAATAAAAGTGCACCCTGCTCCAGCATACCATCCAGCTACCAAAGGAGAACAGCAAAGTTATAGGTGCTGCAAGTTAGGCAACAGAAGAATGTGACGATACTGCAGGGTGGCAGAATACACAAGTGCAAGGTAGAGCCCTGTCAGCTGAACTATCTCAACATCTGAGTATTTGTGCGTGAACAGTAAACCTCCATGGCATATCAGAAGCTGATCTGAAAAGCTCCTTAGCATCCCCCTCTATCTTTTTAGGGATTTGGCAAGAACTTTGAAAAGAGAGTTCCCAACTACTGCTTTTGTAGTAATTTGATTCTCGGGACAGCAGCCTACAATTCATTTTTCCATTACAGGCAGTTCCTCTAGTTACGGACCCCTGACTTGCATACAACTCATAGTAAAGAACAGGGGTGAGACAACACGAGGTAAAAGGAAATCTACCCCAAGAAAGAGACATTCAATCCTGGCAGAGTTCTGGGGGAAAAGGTGTTTCCACTGAAGCTTTATCACCAATCCTTGTTTCCATGAGAAATCTAAATTTTCAAAATTCAAAAGTCGCAAGGATAGAAAGTGAGGTTAAATGTTTTAAACAGGGGCACAGACTGCAAAACAACAATCACAGGGGTGTTTACCCTTTCATATGCTATCCAAAAGTAAAAAAAAATGGGCTAGAGTTACACTTAAAAATGTACCTTTTCCAACTTACATACAAATTCAGCTGAAGAACAAGCCCACATTACCTATAGAATCATAGAATCAAAGAGTTGGAAGAGACCTCATGGGCCATCCAGTCCAACCCCCTGCCAAGAAGCAGGAATGTTGCATTCAAATCACCCCTGACAGATGGCCATCCAGCCTCTGTTTAAAAGCTTCCAAAGAAGGAGCCTCCACCACACTCCGGGGCAGAGAGTTCCACTGCTGAACGGCTCTCACAGTGAGGAAGTTCTTTCTCATGTTCAGATGGAATCTCCTCTCTTGTAGTTTGAAGCCATTGTTCCGCGTCCTAGTCTCCAAGGAAGCAGAAAACAAGCTTACTCCCTCCTCCCTGTGACTTTCTCTCACATATTTATACACGGCTATCATATCTCCTATGGGGCTATCTCGTATGGGGCTATGCCCAAGAAGATAAAAATGGAGAGGCTGTCCTCTCCTGGTCTGAACTGCACAAACTATCACTCATCCATGATAGCAAGCTCCACCATCCTACAACAGCGGGAGATGGCACCGAGGTTATAACCCAGACCTCCTATTTGTGAGCGACAGAATTGTACAGCAATGCACTAAATCAGTGGGACCACCAATTCCAAACACACAGCACCGACCAATAGTATGCCAACTGTTCCCAACAATAAGGCCTCAGGAAGTTCGATTTAAATGAAGATGCAACTTCAGAAAGGCAGATTGGATTAAATTTTCAGACATGTTAGATGACATGATCACATCGGCCGCGCCAATCCCTGAGGAATACGAGCACTTTATTGAAATCGTGAAAACCTGCTCACGGGCCTCCATACCGAGAGGCTGCAGAACCAACTACCTTCAGGGCATTACCCCTGAAACAGCTGCCTTGTTGGAAAACTATTACAGGCTCCACAACGAAGACCCATTTAGTGAGCAGACCCTTCAGGCAGCGCAGAGCATTGTGTCCTCCATCTCTGAAGCCAAGAAAGAACAGTGGATCAAACTGATCACAGAGGTCGACATGGGCAGGAGCAGCCAGAAGGCCTGGAGGCTGCTGAGACGGCTGAGCAATGACCCCTCACAAACTAATACCCATGCCAACATAAAGGCAGATCAGATAGCACACCAACTCTTGAAGAACGGGAAACCCAACCTTGCCACCAAAGTAGGAAAGAAACTAATAGCCAGACAACAAGAGATTGAGAACAACAACCTCCATGAACCCTTTACACTTATTGAATTGGACATGGCTCTCAATAAATGTAAAAATGGCAAAGCAGCTGGCCTGGATGATCTACGGATGGAACAAATCAAGAACTTTGGTCCCAAAGCAAGGCGCTGGCTGCTGGAGCTGATGAACAACTGCACTGCATCCTGTCAGATCCCCAAAATCTGGAGGAAAGCAAGAGTCATCGCCATCTTGAAGCCAGGCAAAGACCGTAATGACCCAAAAAGCTACAGACCAATCTCCCTGTTGTGCCACCTCTACAAAGTTCTGGAGAGACTTATTTTGCATAGAATTTACGGAAAAAATAGACCAATGTCTGATTCCACAGCAAGCTGGCTTCAGGAAAGGCAAAAGCTGCACATCGCAAGTGCTGAACCTGACTCAGCACATAGAAGATGGCTTTGAAAGGCAGCAGATCACAGGAGCTGTCTTCATAGACCTGTCAGCAGCCTGATACTGTGAACCACCGCCTCCTCCTGAGAAAAATGTATAATATCACAAAGGACTACCACCTCACCCGCCTCATAGGAAACCTGCTACAAAACAGGAGCTTTTTTGTTGAGTTCCAGGGCCAGAGAAGCAGATGGCGGAAACAGAAGAACGGCCTGCCTCAGGGGAGTGTGCTTGCTCCATCCATGTTCAACATCTACACAAATGACCAGCCACTGCCAGAAGGGACAGAGAGTTTCATCTATGCTGATGACCGTGCCATTACTGCTCAAGCAAGGAGCTTTGAGTTGGTAGAACAGAAGCTTTCCGAAGCTCTAGGTGCTCTTACTGCCTATTACAGGGAAAACCAGCTGATCCCCAACCCATCCTAAAACACAGACATGTGCCTTTCATCTCAAGAACAGAGAAGCATCCCGAGCTCTGAAGATCACCTGGGAAGGAATCCCACTGGAGCATTGCAGCGCACCCAAATACCTGGGAGTCACTCTGGACCGTGCTATTACCTACAAGAAGCACTGCCTGAACATCAAGCAAAAAGTGGGTGCTAGAAACAATATCATACGAAAGCTGACTGGCACAACCTGGGGATCACAACCAGATACAGTGAAAACATCTGCCCTTGCGCTTTGCTACTCTGCTGCTGAGTATGCATGCCCAGTGTGGAACACATCTCACCACGCTAAAACAGTGGATGTGGCTCTTAATGAGACATGCCGCATTATCACAGGGTGTCTGCGCCCTACACCACTGGAGAAATTACACTGTTTAGCCAGTATTGCACCACCTGACATCCGCCGGGAAGTAGCAGCCAATAGTGAAAGGACCAAGGCAGTGACATCTCCAGCTCATCCCTTGTTTGGGTATCAGCCAGCACGTCAACGACTTAAATCTAAAAATAGTTTTCTAAGATCTACAGAGACACTCGCTGGAACACCTCAGCAAGCGAGAGTCCAAAAGTGGCAGGCCCAAACCCAGCACCTCAACCAATGGCTCATACCCAATGAGAGACTCCCTCCTGGGCACACAGAAGACTGGGCGACTTGGAAGGCACTGAACAGACTGCGCTCTGGCACCACGAGATGCAGAGCCAACCTTCAGAAATGGGGCTACAAAGTGGAATCCTCGGCATGCGAGTGTGGAGAAAAGCAAACCACTGACCACCTGCTGCAATGCAACCTGAGCCCTGCCACATGCACCATGGAGGACCTTCTTGCAGCAACACCGGAAGCACTCCAAGTGGCCAGATACTGGTCAAAGGACATTTAACCAACTACCAAACTTACAAGATGTGTATTTTTCTGTCTGTTTGCTTTGTTCTGTTAGAAATGTAATATATAATGGACTGGTTGCTCTGACATGACAAAAAAATCATATCTCCTCTCAGCCTTCTCTTCTTCAGGCTAAACATGCCCAGCTCCTTAAGCCGCTCCTCATAAGGCTTGTTCTCCAGACCCTTGATCATTTTAGTCGCCCTCGTCTGGACACATTCCAGCTTGTCAATATCTCTCTTCAATTGTGGCGCCCAGAATTAGACACAATATTCCAGGTGTGGTCTAACCAAAGCGGAATAGAGGGGTAGCATGACTTCCCTAGATCTAGACACTATGCTCCTATTGATGCAGGCCAGAATTTCATTGGCTTTTTTTGCCGCCACATCACATTGTTGGCTCATGTTTAATCTTGTTCATTTTTTTCCTGAGAAATTTGTCCTGTTTTACAACTGATCTTATCATTAAGGGAATACAGCTACAGCTATTCCTTAACCCCTCTTCACCATTTTAAAACACACTATTAAGCCAATCTTGGTCTGACAGTTGAGCACAGCTTATTTCAGCTTTTATTCTGGTACAACTACTTTATGTGAGCAGACTAAGCAAAGAAAGAACAGCATACCGTAATCACAATTAAACACTTAGCAATCATCATGCCCTACATTTGATAAATACAACCCTGAAAAAACAAATATGCATCATCCCTAAAATGTAGAGACTATAACTAACAATGTATCCAGATTGAAGCCAAACAACTATTAACCTCTTTTATAAGTGGAATCTCACCTTATTACTCAGATGCCAAATCTGCAATAATTGCTCTGGTCTGAATCCCAAAATACCCAGAATTAATTATAGTTAATTATGTCTTACCTTGAATAAAGGGCACAAGTTTGGCAATCTCACTTTTTTTGGACGTTTAAGTACATTCAATAAATTTAATGGATTCACCAAAATCAACTTAAATGATCTGAAAATACCCAGTCTTCATGTGGATTAAATGATAAACTAGCACAGTCATAAACACCTCACTTTCTCAGAGTAATATGATGCTCCAACACCTTTTATTTCCATCCCATTTGATCATTTCAAGTACAAAATAGCTACATACTGAGCATCCAGGTAACCAGCAAATGAAATCGGAGAGGGGAAACAATCTGGTTTCATTAATCGGCTATTATTTAAAAGTTTCTATGCCAAAGTAATAGATATTAAGACTGAAATCCAAATCTGCATGACACTTGATCCAGTGATCGGTTTTGTTATGTTCAACAGATGGTAATACAGGGTATTTCAAAATGATGAACCCCATTTCAAATCAGAATATTTCATGATAGTAACGCTACAATTACAGAAAAGAGTTGCAAATGGTTTAATGAGTTATCAAGTTAATCAAGTTTTGCTAACCAGAAACAAATCTAAAAAATAACTCCACAAATGGAGAATATCTAATTAGACCTTATGTTATGGGGCTGCCATATTGCAATGACTGAGGCTAGAGATTGTTTGTGTTGTAAGAGAGGCATCCAGTAGTAATCATTTGAAACTCTATGCCCATATCTGTGGTTGCAGAGATATGGTGGTGTCAAATCAGGTCCATCTTTTTGAAACACACTGCATTTTAAAGATGATTTCTTTTGGTATCCAAAAGGCCTCACCCAATTCCAATAAATATGCCTTTCTTTTCCTGTGGTACAATATTGAGGTTTCTACATGCTAGAAATTTAACCAGAAATCTATAGTGAAACAAGCTTACCAAATCAGTACCTTACAGTAACACTTAAATGATTCAGAAAGGTAGATATATATTTAGAGTGTTTAGAAGAAGGTACTCACTTAGTTGGTGTTCTAGAACCCATGGTCCAAAAATGGGATTGTAATTTCTTTTCCTGAGGTAGCATCTTTTTTGCCTGGAAAAATGTGTGAAGCTCTACACAAGATTTCCACAAGTTTTTGCATGCTCTGTAGTTCAACATATTGAAGGCAATAATGTATTCCCTGGATTCACTCTGCAATAAGAAATATAGGTACTAAAAATAAGCACAAAATACTTCTAACAGCTGCTTAATTAAACACCTGCTTTGCCTTACAAAAGGGCAACAAACAACATATTGCTTCCTCTACTGTTTCAAGTAGCATAAAGCTGCAACATCTTATGTTTCTAGATCTGTAAGTTAAAGTCACCTAAAATATTTTTGATACACTCAAAATTAATTATTTGTATGTATGTTTTTAAATATGATGTGAGCTGCCTTCAATCTGTCCTGGAGAAAGGTGGCATAGAAATCTCCATAATAAAATAAATAAATAATTCCTTAGGAAAATATAAAACATTTGGTAGTGATTATTATCACAGCAGCAACTTAAAAACAATGATTTCTTCAGGTCACCCACCTTCAAATATCTACTAATATTATTATTATTATTATTATTATTATTATTATTATTAAACTTTATTTGTACCCCACTAGCATCTCCCGAAGGACTCGATGCAGCTTACAAAGGCCAAGGCCTCAATACACAACACAACAATACACTTAAAGCAAATTAAAACAATTAAAGCACTATTAAAACAACAAAACCACAGGCAATAAACAGTACATCAAACAAGATAAAACTAGGCCGGACCAGAGTAAAGGGTACAGGATTAAAAAGTGCTGATGTGACAGGTGATATGTAGGGATTATAAGGCAAGTGCAGTGTGCAGTGTGCAGCAATCTTAATTCTAATAAAGTGCTTCTGGGACTTGGTATAGGAGATTTCCTAATTGGAAAAGGCACATCGGAACAGCCAGGTCTTCAAATTCTTTCTGAAGACTGCCAATGTAGGGGCCTGTCTGAGATCTTTTTCTTGATATGTCTCTGCTCTCAATTTTGTTCTTTTTATTTATTGCAAGTTTTACATATTCAGTATTTAAACATTCTTATATTTATCACTTGCCCTTAACAAATTATATGCAGAACATATATGTCTTAATACCTATAATATATTATCCTCCCACTTTGTTACATTTTGTCCAATCACCTAGTGCTGACCCTTCACCCTAGACCAGCCAATTGCATTACTTATTTCCAAAATTCCGTTGTTTTTATTACAGGTTTGCTCCCCTTACCTTCTATATATACATATTCTATCAATTTCCCCCATATCTTCCCAAAATCATTTTTTCAGTAGTCCTCTTTTAATCTTTATACTACCTGTTAATTTATCGTTTATTGCAATATCCCAGCTCTCCCTATACCACTCTTCCAATTGGCACTCCCCTCCTTCTTTCCATTCTTGCTGCTGTTACCAGATTGGCAATTAATTCCTTTAGCTCTTTTGATATTTTAACGTTGTCACTAGCAGTGTTATTTCCGGCATTCCTGTTATCTCTATTTGGGTGATTCTTCTTATTTCTTGAAATACCTTTTTCCAAAATTTTTGAATAGATTTACAAGACCACCACATGTGTATATACGTACCAGTTTCTTGACAGTCCCTCCACACTGCTTAGAGTGTTTCTTATCCATTTGATCTAATCTGACTGGTGTGAGATACCATCTGCACCCCACTTTGTAATAATTCTCTTTTATTCTTATTGACATATTTTTACTATACACATATTCCACATTCCTTTCCAATTTTGAGGGTGTATTACTTTATTATAATCTGATTCCCACATTCCTTTAAGGTGGTCCTGCTCCTGGACATGAAGGAAAGAGACTGTGGAAGTACTAACTAACTTAGTATAAAACATTCAACCCTAGTAGTTAAGGCATTATAAGAATACCCTGGATGATATCGGAATGGGCGCACTTGCCTGGAGGATGGGCCCCCTCCCCCCACCCCACAAAGAAGTTTGGAGTAAACCAGGTTTGAGACAAGTGGTCTCTGAACATAGTGGGGGGAAAGGAATAGAGGGAAAAGAACACTTCACAAGGGAAGTGTAAGCTCACAGCAGCCGCTCCCAGAAAAGACACAGGACGCCAATCCGTAATCAATCAGGAAACTTTTACTACTGGAAATGCATACACAACGAAAGCCAGGATTGGCATACAGCCGCAAGTCAATCCCTTTTATACCCTCCCTCACAATTGAATCTCTCTTTCCCGCCAGCCGAGGATCCCGCGCAATGTTCCCCGCCATTTATCAACTGCTTTCCCCCAAGGCCACCAGCTGCACATTCTTATCAGCTCTCCGAGTCAGGACGTGGGTTTTTTGTGCCAATGTCTGAGGCCAGGAAACCGAGTCCTGACAGGAAGGGTGGGAAGGGAGGGAGAGGGAGGTAAAACAGGGGAGAGCACAAATTAGGGACCAGCCAAGTAGGAGTAAAAGTAGAATGATAAAGAAATAGGGGAACACTTGGGGATTGTATCTTTGAGTTGTAAAGGTTTGAGTTCAGTTTATAAAAGGAAAAGCATTGCAGATTTGATTTATAAAGCTAAAGCTAATTTTGTATTCTTACCAGAGACCCATCAATCAAAACCGGGGGTGAACAAGCTTAAGATGCATGAATCTGTAATATATATATAATCATATGGAACATCCAAATTGAGGGGTGTGGCAATTATTATTCAAAATCAATGTGGTTTCAATATAAAGGAAACAATGATAAGATGAACAAGGAAGATATACACAAGGGACAATGGGAAATGAGGATTTCACTTTTGCAAATGTATATGCTCAAAACACTAACCAAGCAGAATTTTATAAAATAATATTTAAAGAAATAGAAGGAATACAAAAAGGGTACTTGATCTTAGGAGGGGATTTTAATGGAATAATGGAAATGGATAAATCCCACCACATAAAGAAAGGAAAAGGGAACACACAAAGTAGAACAACTCTAAGTAGAATAATAAGTAATAAAAATATGGTCGATATCTGGAGAATGTTAAAGGGAAATGAGAAAAGCCCATCAAAACAGCCTATCAAAATTTTTCTAGAATTGATTACTTCTTTGTTTCACAACAGGTACTACCCAAAGTACTAGATACCGGAATAGGGGTAATAAGATGCTCAGGCCATGCATTAATAAGTTTGGATCTCCAAATAAAGGATTACTAACTGGAAGATAGGAAATGCAATATTAGAGAACAATACGACAGTGGAAAAAATAGCCAAAGAACTATGAGATATCTAGGAAATGCTCCTATGCAACAAGCAATGCTCCTATGCAACTGTGTGGGATACGATGAAAGCAGTATAAAGGGGCTACGATCGAGAAAGCTCTATGCCTAGTAGATGACAAATGATAAGTCCGGATGTTAGGGACTGCAAGCAAATTTTGGTCTTCAAACCGGAGTAATCTTTGTAGAATTTTCTTTGTGGGTAACAATAATCAATAACGTAAGAAAAGATTAAGGAAGAACTTCCTGACAGACACTAAGAGCTGTTCAACAGTGGAACTCACTGCCTCAGAGTGCGGTGGAGGTTTTTAAAAAGAGGCTGGATGGCCATCTATAGGGAGTGCTTTGATTGTGCTTTCCCTGCATGGCAGGGGGGTTGGACCAGATGGTCCATGTGGTCTCTTGCAACTTTATGATTCCTTGTATTGCAAATTATGTTATTTACTGTTTCAATTCATTTATATATTAATTGGATTTTATATAGGTTTGTGTGTATGTGTACAGGTGTATGTATGTATTGCCATAAGTCCCCTGTTGACTTATGGCAATTCCATGTATTTCATAGGAATTTTTTAGGCAAGGAATACTCATAGGTAGTTTTATCAGTTCTTTCCTCTAATACAGTATATACTGTGCATACTCATGTGTAAGTATAAATATTTTAGTAAAAAAAATCCCAAAAAAACTTGGGTCAACGTATCCTCAGGTTACTGTAAGTACTGTACCTTAACTCATATATAAAAGAAACCACCCCTTTCTTTGAGTAGAATGATGAAATGTGAGAGTTTATTCCATCCTGGGAGAACCTAAAAGAAGCAAAGAATCCCTGCACCCTCCCAGCCATGGTGCTTTTTCTGGCTTTTTTGAACGCCTGTGTGGGAAAACGGTGATGGCCGCAGCAGCTCTTTGGCACCTCCCTCAAATAAGCTCTAAGAAACGTCAGAGAAGGGGGTTGTTCCCTTTTTGATAAGAATTAATACCACACCTTAACGTTTATCACAAAAAAGGAACCCCTTCTCTGGGTAGTGTGGCAAAAGCCTTTCTGAATGCATGGCCAGGGGTAATGGCCTCCCCTCTTTGTGAAATGATTCTCAACAAATCCACAGGTCATTTCAGAATCCATACTTTTACTCCCAAATCTCCCCTTGACTTATGCATGAGGTCAACTTGTATGGACATATAGAGCATTTGCAATTTGTTGGTCTACCCATCTATATATTAACTTACACAGCTGACTTGGCTTAGCTTCTAAGATCAGAAAGGATCTAGTGCCTTTATGATATTTAGGCATTTGTATAGTTATAATGAAACATACACAATTTCACAATGCACAGTGTGCACTATACTCATATTGACTGCAATACTCATAAGATTATACTACTTTAGCATCATGGCTCTTCAAAGAAGGGCGGAAAAAACCATTGTGTTTGGTAACTGCAAATGATGGTTACACCCCCATCCATATATATATAAAAATATTTGTTATACATTGTTTGTTTTACAGCAGATACATATTATTCAATACAACCTACCATACTTTTGGCATCTAGTGTTAATTTTTCTGCTTATACATATTATCTATCTCTCACAGCTGTGCTCCCCTCCCCCCTCCCAAACCACAGCTTTTACATATCATCTGTCCAAAATTTCAATTCTTCTTGTAGAGGTAACTTTCCTTCTTTATTTTTAAATCTTTTTTCAATAAATTTTCTCCATACATCATCAAAATCACTTTGTTTCCATATACCTCTTTTAACTTTTAATATACATGTCAGCTTGTCATTTATTGCCAATTTCCATACCACTCTTCTGTTTGTATATTTATTTCTCTTTTCCACTTCCTTGCTATAAGCAGTCTTGCTATGGTTAATAAATTAGTTATCACATCTTTATCCTCTTTTTTCCAATTGTTTATTATTATATAATGATAATAAAGCTATACTAGGACTTCTTTCTATTTTAATGTTCATTATATCTTCTATTTCTCTAAATACTTTTCCCCAAAAATTGTTTACATATTTACATTGCCACCATATATGTATATATGTTCCTGATTCTTGACATCCTCTCCAGCAACTTTTTGAATAGTTTTTATTTATATTTGCTATTCTTACTGGTGTTAGGTACCATTTCCATATTAACTTGTAATAATTTTCTTTAACCCGTATTGATAAATTTTTTAGATGTCTTTGTCTCCATAATTGTTGCCACTCTGTTTCATTTATTTTTATCTCTAAATCTTCTTCCCAGACCTCCTTGAGGGTGTTATTTTTTGTTTTTCCTTTCTTTATTTCAATTATTATCTTATATACTTTACTAGTTACTCCTTTCAAATTTTCATGTTCCTCTACGACCCTTCCATTTTGTATTATTTGTTCAAATTGGTTAAGCTTACTTCCGTTTTTATTATTTCCCCCCGATTTTTAAACCATTGTTCTAATTGTATACAATGGAACCATGTCAATTTTATTTCTCTACATTCTTCCATAATCATTTCCTTCTTCATTCCAACCTTTATCCAATCCCCTATTTTGTCTATTTTTTTCCCTTAACTTTTTATCCATTACTTTAAAAAAATTGGACATTTCTTTTCCAGTACAATTGGGGTTATTACTGAACCATCCGTTATTAACATTCTCCTATATTTGTTCCATACTTCTAATATATAACTCAACATTGGGTTTTTAATTTCCCTAGTTTCTTTTCTCGTAAACTGTTTAAAAAATATATTCCAAATTTCTTCCTCCACTTTTTCCGAATCCTTTCTTAGCCAATCTACTCCCTCTTTTTTATCATTCCTTCTATAACCAATCTTAATCTGCTCGCTTCATAATATTTTTTAATATTAGGGAGTGCTAATCCTCCCTCTTTTGCGATCTGTACCATAACTGTTTGTGTAACCTATTTCTTTTACTACCATTACAATATTTATTTATCATTTGTTGCCATCTATTTAGCTCTTCTTCTGTAATTTGAAGTGGCAGCATTCTAAATACAAAATTTATATTCGGAAGTATTTTCATTTTTACTAATGCTATCTTTCCAACCCAAGATAAATGTATATTTTCATATTCTATTAATTTTTTGAACAACTTTTCTCATGCTTCTACATTTACCGCTTCCATTTCTTTTAAATCCTTTGTTATTATTACTCCCAGGTATTTTAATTTATTCTTAATTCTAATTCCCATTTTGCTCTGTTCTATAAAGTCTTTTTCTTTTAAAACATCACCAGTGGGACTGAAATAAAATATCAGAATTCTTATTTTTGGCCACTTTCTTATTTATCTCCCCCACTAAAGTTACATAGTGGAAGTAAGGCCCACAAGAAAATAATAAACTTGAGACAAGATTAATCCATACATTCCTTGTGAAGCTATACTCACATGTTTTTGCCGCTGCTGAATAAAGAATTTCTTTCGTTTAAAAGAAATTTTTATTATATTCACCCTGGAAAGAAAGCTAAATTAAGTAATGTTGTAAAATGCACACAAACAAAACAAGTATTGCTGGGCAATATGGACACAGTGGTCAAAATCCTATATGATCACTGGAGCTATGTAAACCTCTAACAGCTTCTTCTACCAGGCTTTCCTTCTGTCTTACATTCAAATCTACCACACGGCACCACTGTTCACTCTTGTGACCAGTTAGACTCCAATAGAATCAAGGGTTCCTGGGCACCATCTAAATGCAATTTTGCAGCTCAAAATAAAAAAGGAAAAAAAAAGGAAAATGTATTGCTTTCCCAGATTTCCAGAGTTGAAGAAATGTCTAAGCCCAGTTTCCCTTGTGCTCCTATAAAATGTTTCTAGTGTTTATTAAAATGTGATTTTATTCATCCCATTTTTTTCTGTTTGCTTTGCATTCAAGTCTCCTGTCAAACATACATAGAAGAACCTAGGAAGATGGGAGTGATTATGACAGTTTACCAAGGAGACAGGAATAAATGTGAGGAATATTTGCTTAAATTTACTCATATCACAACACACTAATTACCAGCCTTCCTCAATCCAATACTTTCTAATTGTTTTGGTCTTCAGTTTCAATCAGTCCCATGCAGTATTGCCAGTGGCTAGGATTTGGGAATTGGAATTCAAAACCTAGTTTATAACTTCTGTTTTTATTGTAGGTGAAATGTATAATTTCAAAATTCAGACTTTTTTTGGTTTTATTCACACATAAGATAAAGTACGTTCATTTTACCATGGATAGAAACTTGTACAGATGAGTTTTCTATATACAGCAATGCCTCCTGAAGCAATTCCAATCATAAGATCAAGATTATGCAAATCCTAAAAAATAAACAAACACACACACACACACACATGAGAAAAATGTCAGTAAATTGAAAGTTGAAGTACTAGGAATCCTAATCTACTAATTGTAATTTCCATATTTTATTTGCGAAGAAGAAAGGAGTTCACTATCTTTGCATTTGGTATATACAACCCAATTATTTATGCAACGAGGTGAACACTGCAGTTGCTCATGTTGTACTAAGCAGTACACATACTTCTTGCATGTAACATGGCTGTCAATACATATTGCAGTTCAGTCTTCAATACTATGCATGATATTGTTAGGTAAGAGAAAAATCTACTAAAGCAAGTAGTGCCCATAAGGAAATATTCCCAAAGTCCAAACAGATGTACCCGTATTTACTCAAATATAATTCAACATCGAATGTAATGCTCACTTCAATTTTGAAGATGTGCATTACAAAAAAAAATTGATTTGCAAAGGCACAGTACATCAGGGAGGTGGGCAGAGTGAATGAGGCCATTTGGGAAGCCACATCACTCCATCAGGCTGAGGCTGGCAAAGACAAGATCCAACAGAAATGTATGGGTTGCTAGCAGGGTGTTCCTCTTTCTTTTCTGGGCACCAGAAGCCCTGAAGCCACGGCCACCAGAAGCAGCCTCTTCGCCGCCACCTCCCTTTCCAGGCTTCACGGCTTTGGGTCCTTTCATGCTTTTTCATGCAGGTGGGTTTATGTGCCATCAAAACTAATGCAAACCTCAATTTTGGCAATGCAATTAGGCAAAAAAGTGAGCGTTGGTCTCAAGTAAATATGTTATTTCAATCAGCTGCAAACAGGAGCTATATATATGAGTTTAGTGTGCTTGAGGAAGGAAATAAGTTTCTCAAAACAAAAGAGTTCATTTCTTCTTTCCTTAATCATGAAATATCTCTATGCTGCAGGAATGAAAGTTTTGGGTTTTGACTTCATGACATACAAATCTCTGTCTCCAGCTCCCACCTGCAAGAAACTTACAAGCCACCAAGCCCTTCCCTTTTCCCATTTCATCACATTTTAGCATGGCTGCTGCCAAAAATTGGTAGTGCCAGTTCCTGAGCCATTTGCTATTGGACCCTGGCAAATTTCCAGGAAAGAAAGAAACAATTGTATTCAGTGAGCACAGTTTTAATGCTGGTCCCTGGCAAACTAGAAAGAAAAAGGTTGCCCATTGCTCACTTCAGAAAAAAAAAACTGGGTTGACAGCATGTGGTATAAATAGACAACATAATTTCTCCCTGTTGATGTTTATGGAAAAAAGAAAATGAAATGTATCTGGGAATACTGATGGAATGGAGTCACTTTGCTTAGTCTACACCTGTTCAGTGCTTATTAATGCCTCAACCCTCCATAGCATGTTGATCTGTAATCAGTTTAGTAGGCCTGGGTAACAACAGAAAAATTTGTTTCTAAAATCGATTCGTTTTTTGGGGGTTTTTGCGTTTCGATATTTAAAAGAATTCTGAAATTTTTCTTTTAAAAAGTTCGATATTTACGAAATTTCGTAAATGTAAAAAAAATTACGAAACATTAACGAAACAATAACGAATCGATTCGTTAATGGCGGACGCGACCGCGCAATACGCTAAAAAACCTCCAAATGGGACAGGGGGAACTTCTGAAGCTTCCCTCTCCCTCTGTTGTTGACTGTTGGTGTGATATTATATTTTTTTTCACTAATTAAACAAAAAACAACTATAAAACTTGCCCCAGACATGCGGAAATAATAAAGAAACGACCTCAAACCGATAACGAAACGAATACATAACGAATCCGAAGCATTTACGAAACGAATTTAAAAATTCGTTTCGTTTTTAAGTTGCTCCAGAATGGTTCGTTATCGCTTCGTTATAAAAAAATAACGAATTTTTAACGAATTACGAATTAACGAAACGAAACCGCCCAGCCCTACAGTTTAGATTTATATAAACAAGCCAGTGGCTCTCATTGGGAAATATAATCTTAAATATAAGCAATTGCTGAAATGGGCATTATCTTAGCTAATAAATCCATTCATACACAACTAGTTCCATAAATCCAAAGAGTAGCAGTCTATCACAGACCAATTCTGTTTTAAAACTGAATAAATGATTCTAAGAAACCGTTCATAATATGATGAAGACAGGGAGGATCTGCTATTCACCAGAAAAACAAACACACAGAAAAATGTTGAATGGTATATCCACATGACTACCAAAAGGTCCACATCAGTTTTAAATGAGCAATTATAGCAATATATCTAATTTTGAGGCAAACCAGTACTCATTTAAGACAACAAACAATAGTTTAACATTACATTCCTGTATTGAGGCACGTCACTTTCATTTTGGTGGGAATACTCTGTGGTGTATCAAGTAAGTAAACTTCAAAGGAAGTTAAAAGAATAACAAAACTGGATTTCTGCCATCCATCAACAGATATACAGGGTGAGGCAGCATAACTTCCTTTTTAAAAATGCACGTCATTCAGTCAGTTGAAGACGTAGCGGAGCGCTAGTGATCTCGTTCGAGAGGCGGGAGTATAAAGTTTTGTCCTGACACAGTTCAGTCGCCATCATGCGTTGGAACAGTGAGGAGCGGGCTTTTGCCATTGAGGTCTACTTTTTGAGTGGATTTGGAGTGGCCAGCCCGCTCTCCACATTTGGCCCCTTGTGATTTTTTCAATTGGGTTTTTTGAAATCCCGTGTTTATGTGAACTGTCCAAGGACCCTACAAGATTTGAAGACCAACATCCAGGAAGAAATTGCCAACATAACGCCTGCTATGTTGGCAAGAGTCATGACAAACGCAAAAAAATTGAAAAAAGGAAGTTATGCTGCCTCACCCTGTAGTTCCAGAATAAAATTGTTCTTAATATAAAAACGATGCTATAAACATACTCTACCACTGTGTAGTTCCACTCCATAGAATTCAAGCGTTCTGGCTATGTTAATGTAGCAGGACTCTGCTTCTGATTGTTTAAGGCCACTATAGAGAAACAAAAAGTTACAGGCAATAAAACTTGCTATTATCTACATTCAGTCAGTATGCACATTCAGAGACAATTTTTAAAAAATTCCCCTATATTTATGGCATGGTGGATTTTTTATCCATTTCTCTTTTTTTATATGCAACATGTCTGGATGAATATACACGCATAAATAAGGAAAGATCCTGAGAAAAAAGTTAAGGGGAGAATAATACAATTTTAAAATTGTAACTATAGTTATGAACACATTATCTTTACCCTGTCTTGTCTCATAAATTCGTATATGAAAGACTGATACCCAGTGTTACCCAAATAAGACAACAGTAGGGAAGGACCTCTGAGTTATAACAAGTATGATAAGATTACACTGCAATGCACCAAGCCCTCCTCTACTCCCGTTTCATCATAACTGCTGCCAAAAATTGGTGGTGCCAGTGAGTGAAAAGCTACATGAATAAAATTGCTTTATTTACTGGTGAGGGCCTTTTCAGTGGTGGCTCCCTGGCTCTGGAACAGCCTCCCTAAAGAAATTAATTAGCCCCCTCTCTTCAGGTTTTCAGGCCAGATACTGGTCAAAGGACATTTAATCAACTACCAAGCTTGCAAACGTTGTGTTTTGTCTGTCTGTTTGTTTTGTTAAAAATGTAATACAAATGTCTGGTTGCTCCTGACACGATAAAAAATAAAAAAATAAATCATCATCATAATCATCGTCATCAAAGATGTCTTGCCTCATTCCTTCCACTTTGCAATATGAGCTATATTTCTATTGTTGCATTTGGCAAAGCTATCCACCAGAGGGGAACCCCAGTGATGTGAGTCAAAGTCTAAGAAAGAGATTTTAGGCAGGAAGATTCAACTGGAGTTCCCAGTTGTGTTCCTAGAATATTTCTGAACATGATGTACTTTGATAGTTCAAAATCAAAATTCCCATAATTAATTGGAGTGATAGAATCATAGAATCAAAGAGTTGGAAGAGACCTCATGGGCCATCCAGTCCAACCCCCTGCCAAGAAGCAGGAATATTGCATTCGAATCACCCCTGACAGATGACCATCCAGCCTCTGTTTAAAAGCTTCCAAAGAAGGAGCCTCCACCACACTCCGGGGCAGAGAGTTCCACTGCTGAATGCTCTCACAGTCAGGAAGTTCTTCCTAATGTTCAGATGGAATCTCCTCTCTTGTAGTTTGAAGCCATTGTTCCGCGTCCTAGGTCTCCAAGGAAGCAGAAAACAAGCTTGCTCCCTCCTCCCTGTGGCTTCCTCTCACATATTTATACATGACCCTCATCATGTCTCCTCTCAGCCTTCTTCAGGCTAAACATGCCCAGTTCCCTAAGCTGCTCCTCATAGGGCTTGTTCTCCAGACCCTTGATCATTTTAGTCGCCCTCCCTGGACACATTCCAGCTTGTCAATATCTCTCTTGAATTGTGGTGCCCAGAATTGGACACAATATTCCAGGTGTGGTCTAACCAAAGCAGAATAGAGGGGTAGCATTACTTCCTTAGATCTAGACACTATGCTCCTATTGATGCAGGCCAAAATACCATTGGCTTTTTTTGCCGCCACATCACATTGTTGGCTCATGTTTAACTTGTTGTCCACGAGGACTCCAAGATCTTTTTCACACGTACTGCTCTCGAGCCAGGCGTCCCCCATTCTGTATCTTTGCATTTCATTTTTCTGCCAAAGTGGAGTATCTTGCATTTGTCACTGTTGAACTTCATTTTGTTAGTTTTGGCCCATCTTTCTAATCTGTCAAGATCGTTTTGAATTCTGCTCCTGTCCTCTGGAGTATTGGCTATCCCTCCCAATTTGGTGTCGTCTGCAAACTTGATGATCATGCCTTCTAGCCCTTCATCTAAGTCATTAATAAAGATGTTGAACAGGACCGGGCCCAGGACGGAACCCTGCGGCACTCCGCTCGTCACTTCTTTCCAAGATGAAGAGGAAGCATTAGTGAGCACTCTCTGTGTTCGTCCACTTAACCAATTACAGATCCACCTCACCGTAGTTTTGCCTAGCCCACATTGGACTAGTTTCCTTGCCAGAAGGTCATGGGGGACCTTGTCGAAGGCCTTACTGAAATCCAGGTACGCTACATCCACGGCATTCCCCGCATCTACCCAGCTTGTAGCTCTATCGAAAAAGAGATCAGATTAGTCTGGCATTACTTGTTTTTGATAAATCCATGTTGACTATTAGCGATGACTGCATTTGTTTCTAAGTGTTTGCAGACCGCTTCCTTAACAATCTTTTCCAGAATCTTGCCTGGTATCGACGTGAGGCTGACCGGACGGTAGTTGTTTGGGTCATCCTTTTTTCCCTTCTTGAAGATTGGGACCACATTGGCCCTCCTCCAATCTGCTGGAACTTCTCCCGTTCTCCAAGAACTCTCAAAGATGGTTGCCAATGGTTCCGAAATGACTTCCGCTAGTTCCTTCAATACTCTGGGGTGTAGTTGATCTGGTCCTGGGGACTTGAACTCATTAAGAGCGGCCAGGTATTCCTGGACGACTTCTTTCCCAATTTGGGGTTGGATGTCCTCCAATCCCTCATCCACTCCATCTTGCTGAGGTTGAAGACTCACTTTTTGTGAGAAGACCGAGGCAAAGAAGGCATTAAGTAGTTCTGCCTTTTCCCTATCCCCTGTCAGCATTGCCCCATCTTCTCCTCGAAGAGGTCCTATCGCCTCCTTGTTTTTCCTTTTTCTACTGACATAAGAATAGAAGCCCTTTTTATTGTTTTTAATGTCCCTGGCAAGTCTGAGCTCGTTTTTTGCTTTAGCCTTGAGGACCTTTTCCCTACAGGTGTTGGCTATTTGTTTGAATTCTTCTTTGGTGATTTCTCCCTTTTTCCACTTCTTGTGCATGTCTCTTTTGTGTCTTAGCACAGTTAGAAGTTCTTTGGACATCCATTCTGGTTTCTTTGCACTTGTCCTATTTTTTCTCTTTGTTGGCACAGTTTGCAATTGCGCCTTGAGTATTTCACTCTTGAGAAACTCCCATCCACCCGTAACTCCCTTGTCTTTTAGTATCTGTGTCCACGGAATGCTGCTAGGTGTTTCCTTCATTTTTTGGAAATCAGCTCTCCTAAAGTCCAAAATGCGGGTTTGACTTGTCTTAGTTTCGGCCTTCCTTTGTACCTCAAATTGCAGGAGCACATGGTCACTTGCCCCTAAGGATCCTACCACTTCGACAGCATCGATCAGGTCCTCCGCATTTGTTAGGATGAGATCAAGAGTAGCCAATCCCCTTGTTGCCTCTTCTACCTTCTGGACCATGAAATTGTCTGCAAGGCAAGCGAGGAATTTGTTGGACCTTGTACTCTTGGCCGAGTTTGTTTTCCAGCAAATATCGGGATAGTTGAAATCGCCCATGACTACTACATCTCTTCTCTGTGCCTGTTTGGTCAACTGTTGGCAGAAGACTTCATCAAGTTCTTCCTCCTGGCTTGGGGGTCTGTAGTAGACGCCTACAACGACATCTTTTTGAGTCCCAGTTCCCTTGATTCTTATCCAGATGATTTCAAGCTGGTTTCCCAGATTGCTGTCTTGAATCTCTTCTGCAGCATAAGAGTTTTTGACATATAAGGCTACTCCGACTCCTCTCCCCTTTGTTCGGTTTCTGTGAAAGAGGTTATACCCCTCGATATCTACATTCCAGCGATAGGAGTCATCCCACCAGGTTTCAGTGATCCCTATGATATCATATTTGTGGTGTTGTGCTAAAAGTTGGAGTTCGTCTTGTTTATTTCCCATGCTCTGTGCATTAGTGTAAAGACATGTGAGCCCCTGAGATCTTCCCTTGAGCTGTTTAATTGGGATTATTGTGCTTTTGGTACTTGGTCCTTGTTGTGTTTGTGCAGCCCTCCGTTTAGCCTTCTGGCGATTCCCAGACATTATGGGTAAAGTAGTGTTCGCAAGGCTGTTGTCCCCCTCCCCCGGTGGACCTAGTTTAAAGTGCGTCTAATGAGGTTTGCGAGTCTGTGAGCAAAAAGGTGTTTTCCTACTTGTGTGAGATGCACCCCATCCCTTGCCAGTAGGCCATCCTACTGGAAAAGCAGGCCATGGTCGAGGAAGCCAAAGCGTTCCTCCTGACACCATTTTCTAAGCCAGTCATTGACCTGTACTATTTTTCTGGCTCTTGTGGGTCCATGTTTTACAACAGGGAGGAGGGATGAAAAGACCACCTGTACATTACATTCTTTTAGCTTTGCTCCTAGAGCTCGAATAGATATCACATAGATATCACATAGATCTTGATAGATATCACATGCATTTTTATATCTTAATCCTAGATATCCCAACTTTATAGTTGCTGATTAGAGGATACCATCAACAGCCAGTGCTGATGCATGATAAGAAACTCACACATTGAATAAGGGGCAAAGGGAAAGCAGACATGTACTTTATAAGACCTTTAGGGTCATTGTGAGTACAAATGAAGCCCCAGGTAAACATTCCAAAGGGGAAGCTACAATCAGATGCTGATGCTGAAAGCTACCCCTGGGATGTATGGACACAAATCAATCTTCCAAAGTAAAAATAAATATATATATATATATATTAAAAAAACATAGCAAGAACTAACATCTTAGGCTGATAATAATTTCATTCTGTTATGGGGAAATACCTGAAGTATAGCCGCAGAATTCAGGCTCAATTGTCATCCAAGTTCACTGCCCCATTTCAGATTATTACTAAGGAACCTCCTCAAGTAAGAGGAGAATGGCAGCCTCTTAGATGATGACATTATGGCTGCCAAATGTGACACTTGATAATATCAAACTCAACGGGCAGCTAGTGATAATTGCAAATGGTGGTAAAGTGGGCAGTGTTACAAAAGACAAAGCCAGGGGGTCAGCAACCCACATCATGAATACAAAATAAATAAATGTTTGAAATAATTAATTTTTTTACATATTTTAGTGTGCATTCCTGTAATACAGTATTTCAGAAGGGACTGGATAAATACTTAATTTAAATGTGGCATAATATCAAAAAGAAAGCATTTGTTTCAAAGATTATCATGTGAGACTGAAATGTGAGATTGTAAACACCGTTGTTTTGAAACTCAGTTTGGGCCAGCCACACATCGAGACATTTGAAATCCCAGGTTTATTGACTGTGCTGGAGTCCACTGAGGCTGGGCCAACTCCATCTTCTCAAAACTATTGATTTGAAAAAGGTCACCTTTCCAAGTTTAGATCTTAAAGTAACATGAAAGTAAATGTTACATGAGGTAACTGGAGTTCTGCATTAGCCACAATCAAGTTTACATTTGCGCATTCTGCCTTGTATTTAGGTTACACTTGACACAAAAAATTTACTTAGGACACAGTGTTCTGGACTCCTGTTCACTTTAACTGCTAGCAATCCTCAAAAGAACCTCAGGACTCAGTAAAATCTCTAATCCATTGATATTAGCCTTTCCAACAGTTGCCTTATCTGGGTTCGTTGTCCTTTTCTCATTATAGATTCCAAGTGATCTCTTTCTCCCACATGCAATGAAAAAAAATATCAAAATTTCAAACTATAAATTCATTATATGGGTGGATGTATAAAGAGGTTTCATGGGTTTAGTATCAGAGAGAATATCATGGGTGAAGCAGTGGCAGAGAGATGAAATTCATTTGTAATCAACAAATCTTTCAAGAAAATGTAATAATAAATGGGGAAAACTGGAATTACCTGTGCTGTTCATGCAAAGATTCCACTTTGGTTATAAAATCTTTATTTTGTTCTGGTATAAAGCAATAGTCTGAAAGATATCCTGGAAGATGGGTGGAAGCACTATAGTCTCCAAGCTGAGCTATTGAAGGAGAGAAGGAGAAGAAAAAGAGAAGATGAAGAAAAAGTATTTGTTTTAATGTCAATACAGATTTTTTTAAAGCAAAATGCCCTTTAATACAATGGCATATATTATTCTATAACATCTACAAAGATTCCTAGTAGACCTTCACTCTCCCAATCTAAAATAGTTCAAATGTTCTTCAAATAGTTCTTCTGCCAACAGTTGACCAAACAGGCACAGAGAAGAGATGTAGTAGTCATGGGCGATTTCAACTATCCGATATTTGCTGGAAAACAAACTCGGCCAAGAGTACAAAGTCCAACAAATTCCTCGCTTGCCTTGCAGACAATTTCATGGTCCAGAAGGTAGAAGAGGCAACAAGGGGATTGGCTACTCTTGATCTCATCCTAACAAATGCGGAGGACCTGATTGATGCGGTTGAAGTGGTAGGATCCTTAGGGGCAAGTGACCATGTGCTCCTGCAATTTGAGGTACAAAGGAAGGCCGAAACTAAGACAAGTCAAACCCACATTTTGGACTTTAGGAGAGCTGATTTCCAAAAAATGAAGGAAACACTGAGCAGCATTCCGTGAACACAGATACTAAAAGACAAGGGAGTTACGGATGGATGGGAGTTTCTCAAGAGTGAAATACTCAAGGCGCAATTGCAAACTGTGCCAACAAAGAGAAAAAATAGGACAAGTGCAAAGAAGCCAGAATGGATGTCCAAAGAACTTCTAACTGTGCTAAGACACAAAAGATACATGCACAAGAAGTGGAAAAAGGGAGAAATCACCAAAGAAGAATTCAAACAAATAGCCAACACCTGTAGGGAAAAGGTCCACAAGGCTAAAGCACAAAACGAGCTCAGGCTTGCCAGGGACATTAAAAACAATAAAAAGGGATTCTTTTCTTATGTCAGTAGAAAAAGGAAAAACAAGGAGGCGATAGGGCCTCTTCGAGGAGAAGATGGGGCAATGCTGACAGGGGATAAGGAAAAGGCAGAACTACTTAATACCTTCTTTGCCTCGGTCTTCTCACAAAAAGAAAGTCATCTTCAACCTCAGCAAGACGGAGTGGATGAGGGATTAGAGGACATCCAACCCCGAATTGGGAAACAAGTACAGGAATACCTGGCCGCTCTAAATGAGTTCAAGTCCCCAGGGCCAGATCAACTACACCCAAGAGTATTGAAGGAACTAGCGTAAGTTATTTCGGAACCATTGGCAACCATCTTTGAGAGTTCTTGAAGAACGGGAGAAATTCCAGCAGATTGGAGGAGGGCCAATGTGGTCCCAATCTTCAAGAAGGGAAAAAAGGATGACCCAAACAATTACCGTCCAGTCAGCCTCACGTCGATACCAGGCAAGATTCTGGAAAAGATTGTTAAGGAAGGGGTCTGCAAACACTTAGAAACAAATGCGGTCATCGCTAATAGTCAACATGGATTTATCAAAAACAAGTCATGCCAGACTAATCTGATCTTTTTTTCGACAGAGTTACAAGCTGGGTAGATGCGGGGAATGCCGTGGATGTAGCGTACCTGGATTTCAGTAAGGCCTTCGACAAGGTCCCCCATGACCTTCTGGCAAGGAAACTAGTCCAATGTGGGCTAGACAAAACTACGGTGAGGTGGATCTGTAATTGGTTAAATGGACGAACCCAGAGGGTGCTCTCCAATGCTTCCTCTTCATCCTGGAAAGAAGTGGCGAGCGGAGTGCCGCAGGGTTCTGTCCTGGGCCCGGTCCTGTTCAACATCTTTATTAATGACTTAGATGAAGGGCTAGAAGGCAGGATCATCAAGTTTGCAGACGACACCAAATTGGGAGGGATAGCCAATACTCCAGAGGACAGGAGCAGGATTCAAAACATCTTGACAGATTAGAGAGATGGGCCAAAACTAACAAAATGAAGTTCAACAGTGACAAATGCAAGATACTCCACTTAGGCAGAAAAAAACGAAATGCAAGGATACAGAATGGGGGACAATGCCTGGCTCGAGAGCAGTATGTATGAAAAAGATCTTGGAGTCCTCGTGGACAACAAGTTAAACATGAGCCAACAATGTGATGTGGCGGCAAAAAAAGCCAATGGGATTTTGGCCTGCATCAATAGGAGCATAGTGTCTAGATCTAGGGAAGTAATGCTACCCCTCTATTCTGCTTTGGTTAGACCACACCTGGAATATTGTGTCCAATTCTGGGCACCACAATTCAAGAGAGATATTGACAAGCCGGAATGTGTCCAGAGGAGGGCGACTAAAATGATCAAGGGTCTGGAGAACAAGCCCTATGAGGAGCGGCTTAAGGAGCTGGACATGTTTAGCCTGAAGAAGAGAAGGCTGAGAGGAGATATGATATACATATATAAATATGTGAGAGGAAGCCACAGGGTGGAGGGAGCAAGCTTGTTTTCTGCTTCCCTGGAGACTAGGACGCGGAACAATGGCTTCAAACTACAAGAGAGGTGATTCCATTTGAACATGAGGAAGAACTTCCTGACTGTGAGAGCCGTTCAGCAGTGGAACTCTCTGTGTGGTGGAGGCTCCTTCTTTGGAAGCTTTTAAACAGAGGCTGGATGGCCATCTGTCAGGGGTGATTTGAATGCAATATTCCTGGCTTCTTAGCAGGGGGTTGGACTGGATGGCCCATGAGGTCTCTTCCAACTCTTTGATTCTATGATTCTATGAAATGTAAGAGACCACAGGTAGCAATTGCAAATGAAGGTAAGTGGTTGACCAAAAATTAAAAGTAAATTCTTTCATTCCATTTCTACTGTTTGCTTAGTGTTGTGATGGAGTCTTCGAGTAGTGATACTACTGGGAGTATTAGGAGGGGAAGAAAGACTACTCCTGAGCAAGACTTCGATGAGGAGCAACAGAGAAAGCGGATCAGGGAAATATTTATGGAATCCAGTGATGATGAATATTTGAGGGCTTTGCAGGGAATAATGGGTCTGAGACTGAGGAGAGTGATATGACAAGTTCAGAGGATGGAGAAAACGGACTAAAGTGCGGGAGGATCAGAACATTTGTGAAGAGCCCACAAGTAGTGACACGTTTGTGGGGTTCTCTGGTTGGCACAGTGGGGATCCAGCTGAGTCTTGGGGAGTTATGGGTCTGGATAGAAGATGAAAGGAGGTCTGGTGGGTGTTGTCTGATTCCAGTTCTGAGGAGGAATCGGGGCAAGGGGTTTCAGCTGGTAACAGGGTGTTGGCTGGTTCTAGTTCGGAGGATGATTTGTGAATAAAAGTGGGGTTGGGAGATGGGGTTCCTTACAGTCCGTAAGGTGTTGATGGGTATTTGTGTGTCCTTGAGAGCTGTTTGGGAAGACTTCTGTGGACGTAAGTTTAATCTGGATTATCCATGGCTGTGGGGGTTGGAACTGTGGGGTTTTCTCTGGACTGCCTTTGTGTTGATCTTATGCATTAGCTGCTCTTTGTTTTGGCTCTGTGTAAGACCTAGACTGGATTACCGTGTTTGTTGCCTTCTCCTTCTTCGACCAGGATTGGATTCACCACGACGACTATGCCACATTTGGACTGATTTTGGTAGACGACTCTGGCCTTTCTGTTCGACCCTTCGTGTTCACTGAGATCCTGCTGCGGATTGGAGTGCTTTTTTTCCTGCAGACTGCATAGCTTTAAATTTAAACCAGATTATATTCCTGTTTAATCCAGGTTATTTTCCAGGTCCTGTGTTTTGGGTTAACTGTGTTTCACACTGAAGAATATGTGTTTTGAGCCTTTTTGGTTTGTTTTTGGACTCTCTTGGTTGTGAACTAATAAACTTTACTTTTACTAAATACTGGACTGGTGCTTTAAGGGATCTGTCTTGCAACACTAATAGCACTGGGAATAATTTATTAGCTAAAGACATTGGAAGCAGACTGAATTCATGTTTTCTTTCATTACTTATATTTGACTGCTTTTAGGATTAAGCGTACATTAACACCTTTTCTTGGCTCAAAAGAAAAGTGGTGAGGATAAAATTGTAGACACTCTCAAATCAGCAAAAGCAGTGATTGGCATCTGTGACTCCTTCTAAACTTATTGAATTTGAATGTGATAAGTTTTCTACTGACATTCACCATGACTAGATACTTTATGCATTTAGCTAATTTAGTAAAATTTAACCTTTGCCATTACATAAAATCTGGCATTTAAAACAAATGCTATCACTGAGATTAGAAGATTAGTTTAATCTGCTGCTGGCTCTATATTTCAACACAAAAGCTATTTGTTTATCCTGAGCCTCTATGAATTGAGGGATAGATCTATAAAATCTCCACGCAAGGACCTAAGTAATGTAATAAAATGCTCTTATTCTCATCTAGGATTGAAGAACCTTCTGTATTCAAAATCAACTGAATGCTCCTTTTGTCGAAGGCTTTCATGGCTGGAATCACTAAGTTCTTGTGGGTTTTTTCGGGCTATATGGCCATGTTCTAGAGGCATTTCTCCTGACGTTTCGCCTGCATCTATGGCAAGCATCCTCATAGATGCAGGCGAAACGTCAGGAGAAATGCCTCTTGAACATGGCCATATAGCCCGAAAAAACCCACAAGAACTTAATGCTCCTTTTGTTTTTCCAGATTTATGGGATGCCAGTGCATGAGCCGAAATGAAGACATAATTTGTGGAATAAGAAAGGAAAATATCTTTTATGTTCTTGTTTCAAAAATCTTTATATGTCAAATCTTAAAAATTCCCCATCAGAGTTGATGCAAATTGTTTAAGTGATTACTCGACATTTGTTGGTATGAAACAAATACATCTTCAGATATACCTGAATGGGAACCAGACAAAGTAGTAGTTTGTCTCCCTAAGGAAATAATATTTGCATTGCTCTTGAAACCAGAATTTTAAATGCAACAGTCTTGTGGCACCTTGAAAACTGGGGTTTTATTGTAGTATACATTTTTATGGAGAATAGCCTACTTCATTTTTGATTTGGAAAATTATACACAAAATCAATAGTGGAATCAAGTGGTCATGATACCAAAAGGTATTTTTGCCTGACACCCTCCCAAACGCACTGAACGCACAGACGGGAGAAACTAGTCATTGCAAGTGGCTTGCGCAAGAGGCAAGCACAACCAATGTAGGAATTATGCATACACACATATAAATATCAAGGGTGCGGGGCTAAATGGGCCATAAAAGCTGGTCCTGCTTGCTCTCAATCATGTTTTTATTCAGCAGGCATGGGAACTAGTAGACATAGGAGCTCCAAGACCCAATAAAGTGTCAAAAAGGCTTGGCCAAGGTTTAGCAGAAAGCTGAAGACTGTTATCAATGAAAGCCAATGGAATTAAAGAGCATATCACTCTCCAGATTTTGTTGAAGTGGGCTTATGTGGTAGACTACCACAGCAAACAATTCATAGATGGGGCAACAGTATCTGATAAACCAAACAGCATCAGAAATTACAGCCATGAAGCACACAGTAAGATTTTCCCAGCGGAGGTTAGAAGGGAGATACCTTGATAGTTTCCGCAGTCTGTTCTTTCCACTTTTTTGAAGAGGGTGAAGGTGGTGGCATCCTTGAAATCGGCTGGGATTTTCTCAGTCACCCACACTTTTTCTATGAGCTGGTGGGGTTGTTGTGTCAGCTCAGGTCCTTCCTCTTTAAAGATTTCAGCAGGGATCCCATCAAATGTGCTAGCTTTGTTTTTGTTTTTTGGCTGATGGCATTGCTGACTTCTTCCAAACTAGGCAGTGCTGCAAGCTCATCCCTGGTTTGTTGTTGAGGGATTTCTGAGAGAACCTCTTCGGCCACATTGGAGCTGCGATTCAGGAGGCTTTGGTAGTGTTCTTTCCAATTGATTTTTTGTCCTTCAGAAGTTTGGTTCCATCTGATGAGCGTAGAGGCTGTATGCCATGGTTTCTTGGACCACAGATGACCTTTGTGGCTTTGAAAAGTCCCTGAGCATCATGGGTATTGCCAGGTGTTGGATTTCTTCAGCCTTCTTTGTCCACCAGATCTTGAGTTCTTTGGTCCTTCTTTGGACCTCAGCTTTTGCACTGGCATAGATCTTTTTTCTTATCAGCACTGTTGACGTCTCTCTGCCATGTTTGGAAGGCTTTATTTTCCTTGTCAATCAGCTGTTGAATCTCATTGTCATTTTCGTCAAACCAATCTTGATGTTTCTTGGTTTGATATCCAATAGTTTCTTCGCAGGCTGTGATGATGGAGGTCTTCAGTTTGTTCCAATGCTCTTCAATATTTTTGGAGTGTTCTATGGGTAGATGGTCCTTGAGTGCTGTTTGGAGAAGGGCTCGTTTGGAGGGCTCCTGAAGGGCTTGGGTGTTCATTTTGCACCTTGTCTTTCTTCCTTGGTTATCAAGATCGCTTGGGGGCGAACTTGATAGCCATCGTGGATTGGATTAGCCTGTGGTCTGTCCAGCAGTCGTCAGCACCTGTCATGGCTCTTGTGAGAAGCACGTCACGGTGGTCTCTGGCATGTGTGATTATGTAGTCTAAGAGGTGCCAGTGCTTTGACTGGGGGTGCTTCCATCATGTCTTGAACTTGTTTTTCTGGCGGAAGAGCATGTTGGTGATGACAAGGTTGTGTTCTGCACATTTGGTGAGAAGCAGCTTGCTATTTGAGTTGCTGTTTCCAACCCCATCTTTTCCTATGGTCCTACCGTGGAAAAAAAAGCCAATGGGATTTTGGCCTGCATCAATAGGAGTCTAGTGTCTAGATCCAGGGAAGTCGTGCTACCCCTCTATCCTGCCTTGCTTAGGCCACACCTGGAATATTGTGTCCAATTCTGGACACCACAATTCAAGAGAGATATTGACAAGCTGGAATGTGTCCAGAGGAGGGCAACTAAAATGATCAAGGGTCTGGAGAGCAAGCTCTATAAGGAGCGGCTTAAAGAGCTGGGCATGTTTAGCCTGAAGAAGGCTGAGAGGAGACATGATAGCCATGTATAAATACGTGAGATGAAGTCATAGGGAGGAGGGAGCAAGCTTGTTTTCTGCTGCCCTGGAGACTAGGATGCGGAACAATGGCTTCAAACTACAAGAAAGAGATTCCATCTGAACATTAGGAAGAACTTCCTGACTGTGAGAGCAGTTCAGCAGTGGAACTCTCTGCCCCAGAGTGTGGTGGAGGCTCCTTCTTTGGAAGCTTTTAAACAGAGGCTGGAAGACCATCTGTTGGGGGTGCTTTGAATGCAATTTTCCTGCTTCTTGGCAAGGGGTTGGACTGGATGGCTCTTGAGGTCTATTCCAACTTTATGATTCTATATTCTAGGTTGAAGTTTCGTCCAACTCTTGCATGAAAGTCCCCCAGGAGGATGATTTGTCCTCCTTAGGTAATTCCAATAGAATGGTGTCCAGCTGACAGTAAAAGTTTTCCTTGATGACTTCATCAGCATCTAGTGTTGGCCCTTATGGTTGCCTGCTGGTTTTTGGCAAGTTCAATTAGAAGAGTTGAGAATCGTTTGTTAATGCCAGTCGGTGCTTTGGTCAGATTCTTCACCAGATCATTTCTGATAACAAAGCCAATTCCGTGCATTCTTCGGTCTTCTTCATGCAGTCCCTTCCAGAAGAAGGTGTAGCCTCATTTTTCTTTCTTCAGCTGTCCCTCTCCTGCTCTCTGAGTCTTCTGAAGTGCTGCTATGTCAATGTTAAAGCATGCCAGCTCCCTTGCAATGATAGCAGTTCTGCGTTCAAGGTGTTCACTGTCAGTGTTGTCCATCAGTGTCCGTACGTTCCATGTTCCAAAGTTATTTTCTTTTTTGGCTGCAGGATGATGATCCCACTGGACATGGCAGTTCAGTGAGGGATAAGAGAGGCAGACTATGTTTAGGGCACCTATTCTAGCCCCTTCCCCATGTGCGGTGAACAGATGGGATCCTAAAAAGGGCTGCTCAGTCATGGATACAGCTGCTGAACTACTCAACTGCCTCGGAACTTGAGGTAGAATGACTGAGTCCATATCCACCACCCATATGCCAGTCTGTGACTAAGGGCTTCCAGTTTTCACAGTCCTGCCCCCGTCACCACTCGCTGATCGCCATGGGACTTTTGTTGGTTTGTTTTTATTTTCCTTGGAAGATGTCTGTGCATGTGTTTTTTAAATGTGTGGAGGTCAGTGCACAGCTGATCAACACATGGTCTTCACAGAGTGAGGTTCCATCTGGTGGCATAGTTAACACGACGACTGTGGCTTCTCAATCTGTTGCAGCCTTCTTCCGCCTTCACAGCCATTGTGACATGTATTATGTTATCCTCCGCCTCTTCCGCCATTGCGGTCTTTGGGTCTTCGGGAACCTCCCCCGCGGCTACTCCAAGGAGTGTACGACTCCAGTCGTTGTGCCCACATGTTCATTGGAACACGCAAGCCCCTTCACCAAGACAAGGTGACAGTCCATCGAGGAATAGAGGTCCGGAAGGCATGGATGACATCTCCTAGCATTTTCTTTTTAAAAAGAATTCATAAAAATCTAGATTTGACCCCGTTTACATTTAACTATGTTAGTGTGGAAACAGAATGGCAAGCTCCTACATCAGAAAGCTATAAGAAGATAGGTACAATATGATCATTTCAATCTGGGAATAACAGTATCAGGTGAATTTAGGGAACATAGATTATGAATTTGATGAGTGTAGGCCTGTCTTTATTCATGTCAGTTTTAACAAGAATTTCATAAAATCCACATATAACAGGATGGAAAAAACCTGGTATTTAGCCAGTGAGAGATGATTGCAATTCCATCAGGGGTGTGGACCCTACATGTGGAAGTCAAGAGGAAGTTGACATGGGCTAGGAGCTTATTTTCCACATTCAGAACTACTGTGTTCTACATAAGATCATTTCGGAATTGATAAGGTGTATGTATTTGAAGAAAGCCTATTTTTAAAGGGTGCCTACATATATCGTGATGTGCTTTCAAGATATGTCCACGTGGTGAATCTTTTAAGGAGATGCCTTCATGTACTAATGACGTATTTGAAGGAAACACTCACGTCTTGTTGTTCTAAGCAAATGGAGAGTTAATCCGCAAAGCTAGGCCAGACACTTTTCCCTTTCAAGTAGTGTACATGGAATTTTGTATCAGTTAACATCTAGAGATACATAATTTCACTGAAATTCATTTGTATTTCTGTCATTTATTTCTGTACTTGCTTATTAACTCAACATTTACAGGGGTATTACTGGGGACAGTGATGTGTGTGTGTCTTTGCTAGCTGGCCCAAGGAACAAAGCAAGAAATCTTAATTCCTAAACAAAGTTATGAAAGCATTTTGAGAATGTTAAACAGATTTGGTTCTATGGATAAGTTATTTATTGACATGTATTTTATCTGCATCCAAATGCATTTTCACACACTGGATTTCATTAACACCTTGGACTTTTTAAGCTTTTTTAAAAAACTGTAATATTCACACAATGAAGTAGAAAGGCTAAGGAACTAGACAATAAAGATGAAAAGCACAAACGTTTCTTTCATGTTTCAAGGAAATAGAAGTGAACAACTTACTGACAATATCACTACTTACACTGAACTGCATATGAAGCAAGTACCACAGCTGAATTCACAGGGCATAACAACCTGAAAGAGAAAAGTGAAAGGTTATTAACATTCTGCATGATCTGTAGTTATATGCCAAAATGCACCATGAACATTATATGTTTAACCACTAAACACCAAAATGTCTATCACAGTAGTAATAAGCTATAGTTTTAAATTAACACTGTTTATTTTGCCTTGCATCTGCCTGCCAGTTTCATATAAAAAGTGCATATTGTGTTTTCGCCCTCACCTCCTTTTAGATCTAACAGAACCTATCAAGCCGTTCACAGGTATAACACTGGATTCATAATCTTTTACTTTAATTAAAACACCTGAATTATAGGGTCATACATTTTGCAGCAACTCCTTTGGAGAGGAGATTGATCAATACACACCAATTGATGATAAGCAGAGAAACAGATAAACTATTCTATCTGTGCCATGAAATAAACCACAAATATAATACCCATGAATTTATCCTGAACTGGTTTTCTGTAAAAAAAAATAGACATTTCAGTTAAACTAAATAAAACAATAAAGATTCTGGAAAGGAGATTCTACGTGAACATTAGGAAGAACTTCCTGACTGTAAGAGCTGTTTCACTGTGGAACCTTCTGTCTTGGAGGCTCCTTTTTTGGAGGCTTTTAAATGGAAGCTGGATGGCCTCTGTCACGGGTGCTTTGATTGTGTGTTCCTACATGGCAGGGGGTTGGGCAGGATGGCTCTCTTCCAACTCTATGATTCTATGATATAGATCTACATGTGCTATAATTGTACTGTTGCCTCATACTGATCCAGAGGCCTGCAATCTCATGTTTGATTGCTGCAATATCTGCCTGCCACCTTCAGTGATTCTGCTCTATTAAAATATTACTTTAAAATACTATGGTAGAATTTAAAAACATAACAATAAGAATATTAGTGCAGTATACATATCCCATTGAAAAACCATTCTGCACAAACTCTCAAAGTCTTTTTAAAATACAATAATTTTCACTGTTGGTGGAAGGAGAATAGTAAGAAGATAAAGCCCATCTCCCCACCAGAGAGGCATGTGACAGTGATGGGACCAAAAGAAAACTTCTACAGGGAAATAATGTCTTTCATATAGTCTGGACCCAAGACATCCCCAGCACTGTTCTAGAAAAAAAAAACCAGCAGGGAGGAAGCTCTTTCAATACTGTAGCTGTTTCAACAATGTTCCCTCTAACTACCCCAAGTCATCACTCTGGTCACAAGCTTTTGGATGTGCGGAAGTTTCTGAACAACTTACAAAAGAAGTGTAGAGCATTTTACAGCAATTTAAATGTGATACAATCAAAGCTTGTGTCACTGTGAACTGATGTAATATTTTAAGGAACATGTGCAGCTGCCACACTAGTTTCAAGCTATTCACATGCAGTCCTAGTCTTGCTGAAATCTGGGCATTCAAGCTCAGGACAAACTACAAACCTGACATTTCAGGGAGTATGTAAACCTATCCAATGCAGGCTGAATCCCTACTCTTTGATCATTCCAAATCTGGGCACCATTCATTCAACAGTTAACCAATCAAACTGTTTCAGTCTGAACTTATTACCTTCCTTCCAAAATATCAGCCTTCAACTGCAAGAAGATTAAATGTCTACAAAAAGAATGAGTAAAGAATAATTATGGATTATTCTTCAAGAAACTACATTATAAAAATTAATATGAATAATAATTGTAATACTAAGAATTACTTTATCTGCAAAAGAAAGTAAACATTACACCTACTAAAACCATCATTCCATGTTTTATTCTTGCAGCATATCTAAATATTTATCTAATAGTTTTCAGTAAAAAACATTTTATGAGAAAAAAATTATAGATTTCTAGAAATTACTCACATTAAAATTATAAACCTAATTTCTGCAATAGGAAAAAGCACTTTCTGAAAAACAAATTATCTCAACTAAATTTACATCTGGTTCAATATGTTGCATTTCCTATTGTAAATTTAATATGTGTGCTTTAAATGAACTGTCCAATAATATAAATGCCAATTGTAGGTAGAAGATAGCAATCATGACATATTTAATAAGAATACCAGGATAAGAGAAATGTAAGCAGTTCTTAACATACGACAATAGATATGGGACCGGGGGGGGGGGGGGGATTTACCTGTTTTTTTCTTGCTGCAGTGTGTTGGGATCAGGCATAAAAAATCTTACTCGGAAGTACAGACTGCAGGGGGAACCTCCTACAATGTTTTATAAAATTACAGTCAATGATCAATATATTCTTTTTCCAAGTAGACTGATATATGCATATATATTATACATACATGAAAAGGAGAAAGCAATATACCATCTAAAATATCAGATGATATTTCATAAGGAAAACAGAATCTTAGGCATTATCTTCTTAAAACAGAAAATGAATAAATCTCAATTATTAAATGTTTAATTCATAAGAAAAACACAATAAGAACACTGATGCAATTTTCCATTTTAAAAATACAAATAATATTTTTAGAAACGGATTGCACCACATCATTTCACACATAATTCAGCCTGTTTATGAGCTATCAAATGTGAAAACCATTCATATCTTGGTTGAGTGACTGGCATATTAGGGAGGCACAAAAAGACATAAGCACAGACAGATATGCTCATGTATATACTCATGCCAAAGTTGAGGGCAAGTTTTGAGGCCAAAATTATGAATTTCAATACAGCCCATGAATAAGTAGAAGGCTATTCTGCAGGGATGGGAAAGTGCCAATGCTGCACCAGGGAGCTAGGAAGCACTGGCCACAAGCACCATTTCCTCATCCAGGCATTTAAAGAGGGCAGAAGTGATGCTTTGGTGGAGAGAGTAGAAGAGGCGAATGCTTCTTTCAGGTTGTCCTGGGATGGATCAAACTCTTGCCTTTTGCCACTCAGAGAAGGGGCAGTTGCTTTTTTTAGAAGTGCTAAGGTACAAAACCACACTGTTTTGGGGATAAGTTGACCCAGGTTTTGGGGGTTTACCTTTTTGAATAAAATTTCTAGATTTATACAGGAGTTTATAAGGTAATAGTTTCCACATTGGGCCCGATTTTGGCCCATATTCCCTCACATTAAGTGCCATGGCTAGGGCTGATGGAATTTGCAACAGGGCTACATTATTCCCACTACTAGGATGAATATTTAAAACTGTGTGAGATAAGATGGTAACCTGTGGTACCCATAACAGAAGTCGCAAACCATCTCACAACAGCAATATCTAGAAACTGCGCTTCAGTGAGAAGTGGAAACACTCAAGGACAAAATCCTCAATATGGACCCACAGGCCCAATGCAAGATACCATGGTATTAAATGAAACTGAAAAATCAAGGAAAAGCTACATGACTCTGCTTTCTCTCTCTCTCTCTCTCTCTGTGTGTGTGTGTGTGTGTGTGATCCACATGGATATGCCATTGAAAATAACTGGTACTTTACAGATGGTGAAACCCATAGTTTGTCCTAGAGTACACAAATGGGATTTATCTATGTATTCAAGTGCAACATAGACAAATCCAAGATACTCCACTTAGGCAGAGAAATTGAAATGCAAAAATACAGAATGGGGGACACCTGGCTCAATAGCAGTACGTATGAAAAAGAACTTCTTCACTGTGAGAGCTGCTCAGCAGTAGAACTCTCTGCCCCAGAATGTGGTGGAGGCTCCTTCTTTGGAGGCTTTTAAACAGGCTGGGGTGCTTTGAATGCCATTTTCCTGCTTCTTGGCAGGGGGTTGGACTGGATGGCCCATGTGGTCTCTTCCAACTCTATGATTCTATGGAGTCTAGCTGGGAGAAATCAAAAGGTTTCAGGCCACTTTCTCCTTGTTAATTTTACAGCCTGACACAATACTAAATTCATTGATAATTTCCAATAAGGCATGTATGCTTCTTAAAGGTTTCCTTAAGAAACACACCAAATCATCTGCATACACCTTCCCTTTAAATTCATACCCTTTTACTTTAACTTTACCTTAACTTTAACCCTTTTACTTTAGCTCTCTGCCTAGTAGAGGACAGATGATAAGTCCGGATGTTGGCGACTTCAAGCAAATTTTGGTCTTCGGACCGAAGTAATCTCTGGGGTTGGCAGGCGCTCAGGTATGCCGGACCCATAACATATAAGGCCTTAAAGGTTAATACCAGCACCTTGAAAGTAATCTGGTACTCAATCGGTAGCCAGTACAGCTGTTGTAGAATTGGGGTGATACGACACCTTGCCGGCACCCTGGCGAGCAGACGAGCCGCTGCATTTTGCACCAGCTTCAGTTTCCAGATCACTGACAAAGGAAGGCCAATGTAGAGGGCGTTACAGTAGTCAGACCGTCGCCTGGATCACCATAGCCAGGTCATTCCTAGATAGGTAGGGAGGCAGTCGCCTAGCCTGACGTAGATGGAAAAATGCATATCTGCTCACAGCAAAGACTTGGGCCTCCATTGTGAGCAGCAGGTCCAATAAGACACCAAGACTCTTTACAGAAGATGACGGACGTAGTGTCTTGCCATCCAGGGTAGGAAGCTGGATCTCCCTCCCACCCGGACGGCCCAGCCAAAGGATCTCCGTCTTCGCTGGATTTACCCTCAACCTGCTGGCACGCGGTTGCCAGTAATGGCCTCAAGGCACTGATAGAAATTTTCGGGTACAGAGTCTGGCCAGCCCTCCATCCTCAGAATGAGCTGAGTGTCATCAGCGTACTGGTGGCACTCAAGCCCAAAGCTCCGCACCAGTCGGGCAAGCGGTTGCATATAGATGTTAAATAATAGAGGAGAGAGAATAGTTCCCTGCAGGACCCCGCAAGTTAGCGGAGATCTCTCTGAAACCATCCCTCCCCTCACCACATGCTGTTCCGATTCTGGAGGAAGGGAGACACCCATTTAAGGGGTATCCCCCTAACCACAGTCATGGCTAGGCGGTGGGTCAATAGATTGTGATCGACCATATCAAATGCTGCTGTGAGGTCCAATAACACAAGCAGCGCTGATCCGCCTTGATCCATCTGGCAGCGAAGCTGATCTGTGATGGCAACTAGCACAGTCTCCGTCCCGTGCCCCCTACGGAAGCCAGACTGGAAGGAATCAAGTCCGGCTGTGTCATTTCGGAACTGCTGCATCTGTTCCGCTGCTGCCCTCTCAACCACCTTGCCCAGAAACGGAAGGTTCGAGACTGGGCGGTAGCTAGAGGGAACCGAACGATCTAAGTCTGGTTTTTTCAGCAGCGGAGATACCATCGCCTCTTTTAAACCCTCTGGAAAAACTCCTTGCTCAAGGGAGCTATTTATTACGTTCAACAGAGGTTCACGTAATCCCTCCAAGCAAGATTTTACTAGCCAGGAGGGACACGGATCAAGGGAGCAGGTGGTCGGCCTAGTTGCAGTCATGATCCTATCAACAGCCTCTGCATCCAGCGGGGTGAACTGGTCGAGGATTTGCCCAGCGAGTGGCCATGGAGTCTCAAGTTCACTTACTGTATCAATCGTGGCAGGGAGATCCCGGCGGAGAAGCGAGATCTTCTCTGCGAAGTAGCTCTGGAAAACCTCAGCAGAAGGGGCCAGATCATTCTTGTTTGGGACAGAAGGGATTGTTGTCAGGGATCTAATAATCTTAAATAATTGTGCTGGGTAGGAAGCATAATAAGATTTTTTGGCCTCGGTGATAGCATGCTCATAAGACTCTCTAAAATTCTTATAAGCTGATTCCGATTCCCCGTCACGGAGTTCCCGCCACACGACGTCTAGCCGTCTCTTCTCTCGTTTCATCGCACGGAGTTCCTCAGTGAACCAAGGAGACCGATTCTTACGGGGTTGGAGAGGGCGTCTAGGGGCGATCTCGTCGATCTCGTATTTGGGTCTTGTTCGGCATACTCTAATATATCTATCACTGTTCTCACGTTTTGGCTCACATGCCTACCTGGGAAGAAGCCTGCTTGATCCCCATGTACTATTTTGGTTAAGATTTGATTTCAATCTGTTCGCTAAAATTTCTGCAAATAACTTATAATCATTATTGACCAATGAAATTGGTCTATAATTCTTTACTTGCTTGATATCTCTGTCTTGTTTAGGTAAAAGAACTATTGTAGCTTCCTCCCAAGACTCAGGCATCTCTCCTTTTTTGGAGCACTTGATTTATCGTAGAAAGCAATAACAGGCCTAATTCTGCTTTATACACACTATAAAACAAAGCAGAGAATCCATCTGGACCTGGGGTTTTATTTAATTAAGCTTTATCTATAATTTATTTAATTAAGCTTTATCTTCCCATGTGATTTACCTATCCAGATCTGATTTCATACCTTCTGAAAGCTTAGTAACCTTCATATCCACTAGGTATTGATCTATTTTTATGTCTATCGGTGTATTTTTTGTAAAAAAATCTTTAAATACTTTTTGAATTTTTCATATGTTCATAGTTATTTCTCCTTTGTACCTTATCTTAGTTATTAATGGCCTCTTCCTATGATCTTTCACTTGCCATACCAAGAGTCTGCCAGGTTTATTAGCATTTTCAAATAAATTATGCTTGTTATACATAATTTTCCTTTCTAGTTCATTTGATAGGAATAAGCTGCACCCGTACCTTGGGAAATCGGATCTGGCCACGGTGGTCCACGCCCTTGTTACATCCCGATTAAATTACTGCAACGCGCTCTACGTGGGGTTGCCTTTGAAGACTGTTCGGAAACTCCAACTAGTCCAGCGGGAGGCAGCCAGATTGCTCACCAGAGTGTCATACAGGGAGCATACCACCCCCCTGTTGTGTCAGCTCCACTGGCTGCCGATCCAGTTCCGAGCACAATTCAAAGTGCTGGTTTTGACCTACAAAACCCTATACGGCTCCGGCCCAGTGTATCTGTCTGAACGGATCTCCCTTTACGTCCCACCCCAGAATCTAAGATCTTCTGGGGAGGCCCTGCTCTCGACCCCGCCTCTATCACAAGTGAGGTTGGCAGGGACGAGGAGCAGGGCCTTCTTGGTGGTGGCCCCCCACCTGTGGAATTTGCTCCCCGGGGAAATTAGATCAGCGACATCACTCCTTTCCTTCAGGAAAAAACTGAAAACATGGATTTGGGACCAGGCATTCGGAAAATTGTGCAGATAAAGAAAGGACTTTGAGAATGGTCAGGAAATGACTAATGGAATGGAATTTGGAACTCTGAAAGACGAACGCTGAGCATATGAATAGTTTTTATATATTTTATATTTAATAGTATATTGATTGTTATGGTTGTTTTAACTGTGATAATTGTTTTAACTATGGTTTTGTACACTATGTATAATTTTTGTATAGGCATCGAATTGTGCCTTTTGTAAGCCGCCCCGAGTCCCCCCTCGGGGGTTGAGAAGGGCGGGGTAAAAGTACCCAAAATAAATAAATAATAAATAAAATAATTAATATTGCTGCTGCACTTTGGCTAACTCTTGTGGTTTTTTCTTATCCACCTTTGGCTTTTCTAATTCTTTTTCTTTCTCCCTAATTTTGCTAAGCATCTCTAATTGCATGTTGTTTCTTCTTTTACACCAAATAGCTTGTTGTTGAATTAATAAACCTCTTACCACCACTTTTCCTGTATCCCAAACTGTCTTTTCCGCTATGTCTTCCTTACTGTTCTCTCTAATGTGATTTTTTTATTCCTAATCTAATCTTTTCCTTAAAGATCTCCTGACAGACTTCCAGTCTCCTTTCCCAAAGTCCCTCTTTTAATTGTAACAGCATAGGATTATGGTCTGTAAACACAATGGGAAGGAATTCCACCTTCTCTGTTTTGATTACCAAATCCTTAGTTGCATATATATAATCTATTCTGGACGACGAGTCGTGTCTAAGGGAATAGTATGAATATTCCCTTCTATCTGGATTTTGTATCCTCCATAGATCATATAATTCCCAGTGTGTTAAATCTTCTAGTAGGAAGTCTCCCTTCCTTGGAGTCCTTTTTTAAAAAATAATACCTGTCTAACTTTGTATCCATTACTCCATTAAAATCCCCTAACCACAACCTTTCACTATCCCCTACTGAAATGTGACTTGGGTTTATGCACATAAATCCCTACTAATAGAATAGGTTTATGTTGATACCTCACTTTAACAATTAGTATCCTGCCCTCTTGGTCCTCATATATTTTCTCTGGTTTTAGATATTTATTTATATAGAATAGTTTTCTTTACAAGCCATGTATAACTGCCCTAATTTATCTTGGACTAATAAATGTTTTATCTTTTGATACAAAGTGGGATTTTTGAATGCAAATTATATCTACCTTATTCTTATGTAAGAAGTGAAAACCCCTTTTCCTTTTTATACAATTATTCAGCCTGTTTGCATTCATATAGTACTTAACCTATGTAATTTCATCTATTAACAATCTCATCCCTCTCCCTCCCCTATCCACAAGTACTTCCCACATCTTGTTACCATTTATTTGTATACCCCCAAAACATTAGACAGTCTCTGAAACCGACTCTTCTTCTTCTTCTGCTTCTTCATCTTCATCGACGTCTTCTTCGTCATCATCTGCCCCCTTCTGATGGCTCTGTTCTTCCCCTTCTGCTTGTTGGCTCTGCGACGCCATCGAAGAAACCTGATCCTTCTGCATCCTTTTTTTTTGGGGGGGGGGGTATATCTACTCTCAATCAGTGTCCTCCTCAAAATCCCTGTTATATTTTTGTAGAAATTGTTCTGCTTTTGATATGTCCAGAATGGTGTGTCTTTTATATTTGTAATAGAATGATAATCCCCAGAGGTATTGCCATCGGAAGGTAACCCCTTTCCGCTTCAGTGTTGTCACCAAAAAAGTCAATTCTTTTATTTTTCTCAGCAGCTTCATTAGTATCTTCTTGAGAAACAGAGTTTTTACGACCTTTTACCATTATTGCAAGTTTCTGATTCTGATTGAGCATTCACTGATCTTCAGTTCCAATAAATTCATATGATCTTGTAAAACAAATTGTTCTGCTTCTGCCCCCCCCCCCCAATTCAAAACATTGTTCTCCTCAAACTTTTTTTCAGGGACTTATTTATTTATTTTATTTGGTTTACTTTTACCCCGCCCTTCTCACCCCGAAGGGGACTCAGGGCGGCTTACACATCCAAGGCACAATTCGATGCCCATAGCATACATCAATAATAAACAATAAAGCAGACTTGCTCTCTGTCTCTAGTTTAGTCACTTTATTTTCCACAATATTTTGTCTTTCTGTAATTTTTGTGACACTTTCCCTCAATAAGTCCATACTTCCTTTTATATCCTGGATCATAGATCTAATTTCCAGAAGGATTTGCTCAGAGAGACCACTAGAGGGAGTGTTAGTATCTGGCTGTTTATTTTGTTTGGCAGCACTGCCTGTCACATTAGCATATGATGTCATCAGCCCCTTGGCATTCAGCCCAGACAGGCGAGGTGATTTTTAACTAAGAACCTATCTAAAAGCAATATTGTTACATTGGAGAAAATAACTAATTGTAAGGTAGTCCAGAAAGTAAAATAGCTTGGACTATGGTTAAGTAACAAAAATAATAAACTTTACCAAAATAACTATGACAAAACTGAAGGAGATAAAAGGAGATCTTGAAAATTGGCAAAGACTTCAACTCACATGGTTAGGGAGGATAGCAGTGGTAAAAGTGATAGTATTACCCAAAATGTTGTTTTTGTTTTAAAACTTACCAACTATTAAGGGAATAAAGGTGTTTGGAAATTGGAAAAGAGATCTAGTCAAATTCATTTGGAAAGTATTGTCGAAGGCTTTCATGGCCGGAATCACTTGGTTGTTGTAGGTTTTTTCGGGCTATATGGCCATGTTCTAGAGGCATTCTCTCCTGACGTTTCACCTGCATCTATGGCAAGCATCCTCAGAGGTAGTGAGGATGCTTGCCATAGATGCAGGCAAAACATCAGGAGAGAATGCCTCTAGAACATGGCCATATAGCCTGAAAAAACCTAAAACTTCCCAGTCATTGGAAAGGTTTTTTTGTTGTTTTTTGATCATGTCAGGAGAGACTTGAGAAACTGCAAGTCACTTCTGGTGTGAGAGAATTGGCCGTCTGCAAGGACGTTGCCCAAGGGATGCCCGGATGATTTCATGTTTTATCATCCTTGTGGGAGGCTTCTCTCATGTCCCCGCATGAGGAGCTGAAGCTGATAGAGGAAGCTCATCCGGCACTCCCCGGATTCAAACCTGTGACCTGATGGTCCTCAGTCCTGCCGGCACAGGGGTTTAACCCACTGCGCCAACAGGGGCTCCTATTTGGAAAGGTAAAAAAGCCAGAATTGCTTACAGTAATCTTATTGATGGGAAAGACAGAGGGGGCCTGGCATTGCCAGATCTCAGATACTACTATGAAGCCACACATTTTAGCTGGCTAAAGGAATGGATTAAAATTGACAATAAGGAGTTGCTTAAGTTAGAGGGCCATAATTTAAGATACGGATGGCATGCCTATCTATGGGATGATAAGGTGAATAAAGAATTTAATGGGCATGCAATAAGAGCCAGCCTGTCAGCAGAGTTATGATATCAAATAAAAATATTACAGCAGAAGCTTACTTTATTACAGCTTCATAGTAGACACAAAAAGAAACACCCAGAGACCAGACCAGAGACTACAGGCAGATGCAAAGTATAATAACAACAGTAATGAGCCTCACCTGCATCCAATTGATAAGACCCAAACTACAAGCATTCCAACAATTAAAGGCACAAACCCACCAACCAAACACAACCAAAACCATTCAATGAACAATATAATTTTGCACACTTTATAATACTTTCAACACAGCCTTATAGCAACATGGAAAAGGAATAAGAGGAAATGGAGCCACCCCCACTCCCACTGGAAGCAGCTCATATACAAGGATCATCTGGTCAAAGAACAAGGGCAATGGATACTTAAAGTTATAGAAGAATCTGGGTGAAAAGATTGATTCAGCTTTTTCCAACTATATGACAGATTTAGGAAGGATGCAAAAGTAGGATTTGCCTCTAACAGTTAGAAAGTATCTTCAAGAAGGGCAGCAAAGGCCTAATCTCCATGCGCTACAAATATATTTTAGAATACAATTTAGTAGACAACAAAATAAAAACTGTTATGATTTAGGTAGAAATATCGAATGGGAACATCTTTGGGAAAAGGGGTTTAGATTTTCAGTTGCCAGCTCAATTAGAGAAAATATGTTTAAAATGTTTTACAGAACCTACATAACTCCAGAGTTACTGGCTAAAATAGAGAAAACATGAGAAGGGGCTTGCTGGATATGTAAGAAGGTGAAGAGATCTTTTTTCCACATATGGTGGACCTGTAGCATAGTTAAAGAATTCTGGAAAAAAGTGGTGAAAGAAACAAACAAAATGATTAACAAAAAGTCAAGAAAAACCTGGAAATGTGCTTATTAGGAATATTTAGAAGGTGTATTAGGGCAGGAGATGAAGAAATTTGTCAGTATTGCTTTGTTGCTGTGAGACTAATAATAGCTAAAACATGGAAGAAAAAGAGTTAACTATTAAGGATTGGAGAGATAAATTAGTAAATGGCCAAACTGACATTTGTAAAAAAAAAAAAGAATTTGTAAAAAAAAAAAAAAAGGGAGGTTGGCAATTGGATATTTCAAAAAGAAGACAAAAGTAGATTTGAAGATCACCATAAAGGGGATTTAGTGAAAGAAGACATGCAGGTAGTTGTGGGTTAGTTATGTGATCCATACTGAGTGATATCGGAGACCATGAGGGTTGGGTTCACGGGTGTGAGGTTAGAGGGATAATAAATGTTAAGGTATAATAATTGTACAGTCAAAGTTGATTTTTCATGTTAATGAGCACTGACTGTATACTATTCTGTAAATGTGCATACTCTTTTGTCAATCTTTTTTTCTGTTTTCCCCCCTGTATACACCATAAATCAATAAAATTAAAAAAAGTTTCAGGCCACAGCCTGGTGATAGTCTTATGCAGGACATTGCACATACACACTGGAGGCTGAATATGACAAGGACATTTTAATTACCTTTCAGTTGTTTCCGGATAGGCTTATCAGATTCAAGCCATCTCTGTAAAAGTTCAAGGGAAGAAAAGGAAAAAAAATAGTGAAGTAGCTTGTTGACAGCAAAATTTGCACTGTGAATGTTAAAAGGATTCCTTACTGGTGAAACAGCTGACTCTTCACAGTGCTGTAAACCAAAATATTCCTTCTCTGTCACACCCATGTGATTAAAGGTCAAATCCAACAACACCTGACCAATATCTTGTTTCTAAAAATGTAAATAAAATGAGAGATATTAAGTGAAGTAATCTAATACAGTAAAACAAATTCTGAAGCACTAATAATCCCATTTGAAACAGAGATTTTTTTAACAAAAAATAAAAGGAAGATCTACACTTTTTAATGAATTGGTTTATTTTGGTCACAGACACCCCCCCCCCCCATCATAACAGCAATTATTTCTATACAGTATTTGTAAATTTATCTTCAGAAACCATTCATAACACAGGTGGAGGCCACAGTCTGTTCAGGCAACCATATTTTGATATATCATTTATGAACAACTTTAAAGTGCACAGCACGTGGAAAACAGAACCTCTCACGTATAAGAATAAGACTGGAGCCCTCTAGTTTCTGCACACAGCATAACAATGCTGGTAGAAGTAAAGGCAAGCACAGGGGAAGTAAGAAAGGATATTTTCAAGTCCTAGATTCACACCCATTAAGGACTGTTATTTGTGCAGTTAGCATCAATAAAATTCCAGTCCAATTTAACAATTGAAGGATTTTGGTACCCATATTCCATCTCTGACTTACACATATACACACATATTAATAAGCTGAATTAGATGTTTTGAACAATCAATCCCTATCTAATTTGTCCAAAGGACATGCTTCAATAAACTTTCAAATTTTTTCTAAAATATTCAAGTATTCTGGGAACTCATCCAAATTCCAGACAGTTAGTGTTTTCATATAACTATGGTTTTTCTAGTGGAAGAATCTAGAAGAAAGGCAGGATGTAAACCCAATAAGTAAACAAATACCTTCACATTTTGAGGGAGGGATAAAAAAAATGTGATGCAGAAAATACCAATTCATGGAAGAATGATAAGTTCCATCAAGTAATTTATACAGTGTGTGGTGTCGTAATGGTTTCCTGGCATTAAACCTATTCCAGAAATGTCAATCTAATCATCCACACAGTGAAACAGACATTGCCAAACCAGTTCCAAACCTATCTAAGCGATCAGTGTAGAAGAGCCCTATGTCTATCATCCCTTAAGGAGCCCTCATTCCACTACTCTAAGCAGTCAACTAACTGATCATGCCACTCAGGAATGTGTTAAGCACATAATGACAATCCATGCCATCAATTACAGGCTATAAGTGCTAGAAAACTGTATTATAAAACCCCCCTTTAAACTGTTGTTAAAAAATAAAGCATAAAGTTGAAGTTGTCTATGACTTAACATACACACACACACATCGCAGAAACACTTTAAAATGGAAACATCAGCTATCATGAGTTCAACCCCTGTAAAATCATCAGGGAAAAACCTTTCAAATAATTGAGAAATACTTATCAAACTGTACTTCTATAAAATTAAGCATTTATTACTCTTTTTACTTCAACATTTGAGACAGAATATCCTCAGACTGATCTTTTCTATTTTGAGAAGTTTCAGAACAAACTGTCAAGCAATTTGGTATACTGAGCCATTTTCTAAGAAACTTTCCCTCCCCCCCAAGTTTGATCATAACTACAGAATGTGATGATTCATAAGCTGTATTTTTTTGGGAGATTTCAGAAATAAATATTAATTAAGCTATTGCCTTGAAAACGATAATTCTGGGACCTTTGCTTTTTAAGTATATCCCAAAAATGATTTTTTTTGTAGAAATAGCCATGATCAAGGTAGGTAATTTTAAAATGTGATTTTAAACTTAATTCACTCAAAGGTGAATTAAATTTTCAAAACTTACGTTAACTTTGAAGCTTTGTAGTGAACCATCCAGAAAGTGGACATTGCAAACTATGTCAGATCGGATACGGTCCTTTGGTAGTTCTGATGCACAAATGTTATTTATTCTCCCACCCAATGCTCGTAATCGAGTGTTCATAACTATTGCAGGGAAGCCTGTAACACAAGAGGGATAGCAAGGTATAATTTATCCAACATACTAAACTCAAAAATTCTACCTCACTCATTCAAAATACAACACAAAAAAGACACAACATACTAAGAAATAATATTGCAACTTAGGAGAACAAAAGTACTTGTTACGTTTAACGACAGTGTTTTGGAATATTAAACAACTCCTGAATTTATAGGGCTTTCAAAATATTCAAAAACAGTGTCCTTCTATTTATTTATTTATTTATTTATTTATTTATTTATTACTGTGCTTATATATCACTGTTTCTCAGCCTAAATCGGCGACTCAACGTGGTTTACAACACAACGACAAGCAGCAATATTCCATTAAAAAGCATAAAAACACATACACAATACACAATATTATTGGGCCACCAATAATAATCCAATGCATCTCTTAATTGTAATCGCAATCCAATTTCGTCGTCTGTGATTAACCAATCCTTGTTCATCAGTTTCGTTGCACCAGATTAATCGAATGCTTGTTTAAACATCCATGTCTTCAACCTTTTTCGAAACACCATCAGCGAAGGGGCTGATCTCACCTCTATGGGGAGGGCATTCCAAAGCCGAGGGGCCACCACAGAAAAGGCCCTGTCTCTCGTTCCCGCCAGCCGCACCTGTGAAGCAGGCGGGATAGAGAGCAGGGCCTCCCCAGAAGATCTTAGGGTCCTGGTGGGCTGATAGGCCGAGATAAGTTCGGATAGATAAGTTGGGCCAGAACCGTTTAGGGCTTTAAAGGCCAGCGCCAGCACTTTGAATTGGGCCCGGTAGCAAATCGGCAGCCAGTGGAGCTGGTACAGCAGAGGAGTTGTATGCTCCCTGCGCCCCGCTCCTGTTAGTATCATGGCTGCCGCCCGTTGGACTAATTGGAGCTTCCGAGCCGTCTTCAAAGGCAACCCCACGTAGAGAGCGTTGCAGTAGTCAAGACGGGATGTAACCAGAGCGTGGACTACCGTGGCCAAGTCAGACTTCCCAAGATACGGTCGCAGTTGGCGCACAAGTTTTAACTGTGCGAATGCTCCCCTGGTCACCGCCGAAACCTGGGGTTCCAGGCTCAGCGATGAGTCCAGGATCACACCCAAACTGCGAACCTGCGTCTTCAGGGGGAGTGCGACCCCGTCTAACACAGGCTGTAACCCTATACCCTGTTCGGCCTTGCGACTAACCAGGAGTACCTCTGTCTTGTCTGGATTCAATTTCAATTTGTTCGCCCCCATCCAGACCGTCACAGCGGCCAAGCACCGGTTCAGGACCTCGACAGCCTCCTTAGTAGCAGGTGGAAAGGAGTGACAGAGTTGGACATCATCTGCGTACAGATGACATCTGCATTCCGAAACTCCGGATGATCTCGCCCAGCGGCTTCATGTAGATGTTAAACAACATGGGAGACAGTATTGAACCCTGAGGAACCCCACAAGACAAAGGTTGTGGGGTTGAACAGGAGTCTCCCAGTAACACCTTCTGAGACCGACCCTCGAGGAATGAGCGGAGCCACTGCAGAACAGTACCTCCAAGACCCATCCCCGCGAGGCGTCCCAGAAGGATTTATTTATAAATAAATAAATAAATAAATAAATAATTTAGAGTGATAATGGGGAAGAGAGCCCAAGCTTACTTGCAGTCCCTAATACAAGTCTGCACCTTTCTACAAAGTTCTGCTACTTGATATACATTGGTAGACAGATTCCTCTTTAGCTTTGTTTTTTCTTGGTTTTAATTATTTGAACATTGTGTCACATTTAACAGTTTCCAAGGATCTCAGCAGTTCACTGGCAAAGAACTGTGGAACATTATATTTAAATCTGTAATTTAGACGTCTACAGAGAATGTATGTTTTTTACAATTATGCTGTTTAATAATAATAATAATAATAATAATTATTATTATTATTATTATTATTATTTCTTACCCGCCTCTCCACATGGCTAGAAGCGCGTCACAGCATAGTCAAAAAGACACAACTACTATAAAAAGTCTAAAAACACAACTGGGCAGTGGGGATATCCAGCTGCCTACCCTGGATGGCGAGGCGCTACGCCCATCATAATTGGTAAAGAGTCTGAGAATCCTTTTGGACCCTCTGCTGACGATGGAGGCCCAGGTCTCCGCCGTTAGCAGAACCGCCTTTTTTCATCTGCGGCAGGCTAGACGGCTGGCCCCCTATCTGTCCAGGGACGACCTAGCTATGGTGATCCAGGCTACGGTCATCTCAAGACTGGACTACTGTAACACCCTCTACATTGGCCTTCCTCTGTCGGTGATCTGGAAGTTCAAGTTGGTACAAAATGCAGCTGCTCGGCTTCTTGTGGGAATTCCGATGAGATGCCACATAACACCAATCTTACTGCAGCTGCATTGGTTACCAATTGATCACCGGATCACTTTCCAAAGTGATGGTACTCACCTTTAAGGCCTTGCATGGTCTGGGGCCGATGTACCTGAGGGACCGCCTCACCCCCTACCAACCCCAGAGATCCCTCCATTCTGAAGACCAAGATTTGTTGGAAATTCCCAGTGTCAAGGCCTTGCGTCTAACAGCAACCAGACGCAGAGCCTTTACAGCAGTGGCACCATCACTGTGGAATACTCTGCCACCTGAAATCCGTGCCTTGCGGGACTTATCAGCTTTCCACAGGGCATGTAAGACATATCTGTTTCGACAGGCCTTTGATCTTTGATATTGCTGTTTTTAAATTGTTTTAAATTGTGTTCGATTTTAGCCTGTTTTTGTAAGCCACTCCGAACCCCAGGGGAGTGGCAGCATATAAATTCGAATAATAAATAAATAAATAAATAAATAAATATTAAAATACAGTTCCATAAAAGATACATATCAAAGCATTTCTATAAAATACACATTATTCACAAAGGACAGAGACCAAAACATAGGGTGTGAATTTTAAATTCATGCTTCGACTGGCTTGGTAGGTCTGTTGGAAGAGATAGGTTTTTAGATGGTTTTAAAATTCCGACAGCAGATCTAGCTGTTGGAGCTCTTCCGGCAGGTCGTTCCAGAGTCTTGGAGAGGCCGATGAAAAGGTCCTCTGGTTGACAGTGACTGATTGCAGTAGGTATCCCCCAGAGGACTTAAGTGTTCAAGGTGAATTGTACAGTAGAAGGCAATCCTATAGCTAACCTGGACCCAAACCATGTAGGATTTTGAAGGTCAAAACCAGCACCTTGTATTTTGCCTGGAAACTAATTGGCAGCCAGTGGAGTGACTTTAGGATCGGTGTAATATGCTCATTCCCAGATTTTCCCATAACCAAGGTTACTAGTGCGTGCAATAACATCTTCAGGTCCTCCAAATCTAGGAAGGGGATGCAGTTGGCATATCAGCTGAAGCTGGCAGTAAGCACTCCTTACCACTGCATCTACATGAGCTGACATTTGGAGAGACAGATCAAGGAGCACCCCCAAGCTGTGAACACCATCTTTCAGGGGGAGTGTAAACCTATCCAGGACTGGTTGACATACCTCTATCCCTAGATTAGGACCCTTGATGGCAAGCACCTGTTTTTTCTGGATTCAGTTTCAATTTGTTTTTCCTCATCCAGCCCATTACTTCCTCCAGGCATTCATTCAGAAGTGACATGCTATCCTTAGCTGAGGTTGTTTTTGAAGGAATGGAGAATATAGTTGGGTGTCATCAGCATACTAATAACATCCTGCCCCATTCCTACAGATGATCTCTCCCAGTGGTTTTATGTAAATATTAAAAGCATTGGAAATAGAATGGCACCTTTTTGGAGGAGTAGCTATTCCCAAGCACCATCACCTGGGACCTGCCTAAGACCGGAACCACTGCCTAAGACCGGAACCACTGCAGCACAGTGCCACTGATTCCCAGCCCCTCCAGGCGTTCCAGAAGGATACCATGATCAAAGGTATCGAAAGCCTCTGAGAAGTCTAGAAGCACCAACAGAGACACACTCTCCCTGTCAGTATTGATCACTGTTGCACCTCCGTCCCTCCACCACCAAAAGGCTATGATTAAGCCACGTCAGTAAAAAAAACCTTCTGGAATGCCGCAGCTGTAGGAGCCATGGTTGCTGGGTTCTGGACTGGGGGAGCCGGACTAATCAAAGTATGAACAATTTTGAACAACTGTGCTGGTCGCGATCTGGCAGAGGCTATTAAGGAGGAATTATATGATTTTTTTGCGTCCTTGACGGCTGACTCATAGGACTTGCGAAAAGCCTTAAAAGTGGACATTGGCACCTCATCGGGTTTCCGGCGCCATTGATGTTCTAGCCGCTTTCGTGCTTGTTTCATCAGCCGTAGCTCATTAGTATACCAAGGAGAGTGATTCCGGTGAGGGTGAAGGTGGCGTTTGGGAGCAATCTCATCCAAGGCAGACAACAATAGTTAACTTGCTCATTGAGAGTGACACACACAGTTCCCAGGCCCTTAAGGGCATTCAAAAACATAGCAGGTTCCATGAGTCTCCTAGGCCGAGCAAGGATTGGTTTAACAACTGGGGGAGGAGGAGATGGGATCTCAATCTGGGCCTTCAGAGCAGCGTGGCGATGACTCTTGCTTTCCTCCAGATTTTGGGGATCTGACAGGATGCAGTGCAGTTGTTCATCAGCTCCAGCAGCCAGCGCCTTGCTTTTGGGCCAAAGTTCTTGATTTGTTCCATCTGTAGATCATCCAGGCCAGCTGCTTTGCCATTTTTACATTTATTGAGAGCTATGTCCAATTCAGTAGATGTAAAGGATTCATGAAGGTTGTTGTTCTCAATCTCTGGTTGTCTGTCTATTGGTTTCTTTCCTACTTTGGTGGCACAGTTGGGTTTCCCATTCTTCAAGAGTTGGTGTGCTATCTGATCTGCCTTTATGTTGACATGGGTATTAGTTTGTGAGGGGTCGTTGCCCAACCATCTCAGCAGCCTCCACGCCTTCTGGCTGCTCCTGCCCATGTCGACCTCTGTGATCAGCTTGATCCACTGTTCTTTCTTGGCTTCAGAGATGGAGGAC